ACGAGTACGTATTTGTATGACGACCTCGACTGGTATAACCCCAATTCATCTGAATTCTGGCCAGCTCGTCGTCGGATTTCAATTGTCGCCCACCTTGGATCCGACTAGGAAGGAATCAATTAACACAAAACCTTAGATCTAGGACCGATATAGTTAGATGGGTGGCAGTTAGAAGCCCCGATGACATCATCTTCAAACTACTCTATGTTAATTATTTCAGTTCCCGAACTGTCTAGCTGAATGATCATGGCAAATCATTAGAGATTCCGATATAAAGCAGTAGTCAGCGGGCACTTGACCTGTAGCTCTTCAGGGCAGAAAGAAAAGAAAATAGTAACATTAAACTTCGCCTGGCCACATGGTCTTTCCGTCCAGTTTAAAAGTCCGATCTAATCCGATCAGTACGATAAACACCCACCACACCCGATCTCTCGTCCAAGAGAAGGCGCAAGGGGTCCCATAATCCTCATTGTTGGATGTCTCGGTGGCTGCAAAGAAGGTACCTATCTCATACGCGCGAGAGATGGTCAAAGGGATGAAGGGAAGAAACATAGAAGCAAAAAAGAAAGAAGAAAGACCTGCACGTCAGCCGGCACACCTTCGAATTGTCCTCCCGTACCGTCCGTTCACCTCCTTTCGTACCGCGAGTTTCCCCCCCTCGCTTCCCTGTCCTTGCAAAAGAAATAGTCTTTATTTTCTTTTGCTTCCGCAAGAGTTTGGGGGTAGTGAAATGTCTAGAAAGGGTGAAGCTTTGTGCTAGTTGTCGGCTGGCTACCAACAGAAAACCCGGCCTTTGTGACGTATTCATCCATTGGCCTCGGCTTGTGGGGTGACATGTTGGGCCGATGGGGTTACTACACGGCGAGTGATTTCGTGTGACTACCAGGTAACACCCCACTGTCGGCATTTATGTTGACCGCAATATACAGGTCTAGCCCACAGCCGTACTCGCCTCCCGCTCCACCGGTATTTTCGAGCGGATAGATATCTAAAAAACATGACTATCTGAAATTAGAGGGTAGGAGTTGAATGAGCCGAGCCCTAACATAACCTGCGTTGGACATGATACTGCACAGACGCCCAACGGAGAGAGTTGTGAGAATTGCCAATGAACTTTACTATTCAAAAGCGTATCCCAACGGGATATAGCATGATCAGCTGTTCATGTAGAATGAACAGAGAGCAGAATTACTGGTTGGTTTTTCACGTTAGCATGTCATTCACGTATTATTTTTTTTTTTTTTTGGGGGGGGGGGGGGCAGAAGAAAAAAGAAAGGAAAGGCAGGAAAGGAAAGGAAAGGAAAGGAAACATGTTTATTTGTTTGTCTGCCTACCTGACACCCCCGCGGTTCATGTTCAAGAATCCCCATGCAATTGAACAAATCAAAGTATCTGCCGGCATGTAGCTGTAGGCTACATTCCTCTCATGAAGGATTGGCTTCTCAGGTACTGTTGATACTCCGACTCTCGGGGTTAACCTCGAGGAGCGGGTATGGATTAATTCTGATTGGAGTATTCCTCTGACAACTCTATGTTAGTAGATCGTTTGTGACACATACCCTTAACCAACCCTTCACAGTGTCCTACTCCACACGGTATACGCACCCCACCCCATCATCATTTGCTTTCTCTTCATCATCATCTTCAAATCAGTGTTCATGAACTGGAGCTCCAATCACAAATTCGCAGTTGAGCTACTATCATTGTTTCCGCCTATCTACCTAGAGCCTGATTGCTTCTAGCTACACGTCAATCTCCATATACTCTCAATTGCTTCGTGGGGGGATCCAGAGCCTTCTTGTTGGCCGCACTTCGCACGTGTTACCTCGCTCGCATATTTAGAGTTGCATGCTCCAGAAAAGGCAAGAGAGGAGGCCTACATTCGACCGCACACCTGCCTTCAGCAATAAAAGCTTATCATCCATGAGATCAGCCCGAGAATACAGGTTTGAGTCTGACGATTAGGTAACCCGCTTCTTCGTCAAGGGCCCTCCCCACGACCCAGGGTAAGGAAAGACCGGCAACGCCCAAACGGTTAATACGTAAACTTCCAATGAAACTCTAAATGTTCCGCTTTATAAAAAAAAGAAGAAAAGAAAGAAAGAAACGGAAGAATAGGCCGCCTATCATTCAACTGACTTACATCTATCTACACAAGGATTCATGCACGGTCGTCCTGGCTCTGGTAAATGCCATGATACATCTTGATACCGCTTTAATTGGACAAACATGTTTTTGAGTCTGATATATTTTGAGAAACAAGGCTATTCCCCTTTGAAAATTTGCGCGGGATTGCGTATCGTTGCAAAAAGTCTTAAATTGGTGGTAGCCTTGTGCGAGATCAACCCCCAACAGCCAAAGCTCTCGGCTACTGTCGTGGTTTTTCTCATCAAAAAAAATCTTCAGGCTTGTGGGGGTAGAAGTGGAGTTATATTAGACGCCTCAAAATAACTCGCTGCTGTCATCGCCGTTACGACAAAATATTAAATCAAATAAATAAAAAAGAGAGCGGGGTGCAGGCATGGCGGTGGCGAATAACCCGTGACCAGCCCAGTAAATCTCTTCTTCCTGGACTTACAACTCGTCCCACGAAAACTCCATCCTTTCCACGACGATAGCCGTTTGAGGCAGGCCCGGGAGGAGTGGGGGGCGGTGCTTCGTGATGCGTATTCATTCACCATGCACTGGTGGAACTCATACCAGAGTGGAATATGCATACTGAATTAACCCTAACCCCCACCCACCCGGTTTTGGTAAACATCCCGTTCATGTACGCACATGTACTCCAGGATTACTACATAGATGATCTCCCGCGGAGAGTTCGGTTTCAAACTATCAATCACGGAACTATGTCATTCCGGCGATTGGTAATGCGTAGAACGACCTCCGGGACGAGAACATCATATTTCATAGCAGGAGAAGATGATTGGCTTTTCTAGAAGCGCCGAGGTGGGTGATCTTGTTTTTGTGGCAGTCTGTTGTTGGATCTTTCTCAAGGGGTGTGAGGGCGTTTACAGGGCGCTTACTACTACAATGTCACGCAGTCATTTACTGTCCGAGTGATAACCTGTGATCGTTATCTCAAAGGAAATTTGTCTACCTACATGTCACTGCCTTGGACCTTTCGTCTTGAATAATAGGAATAAAGCGTCTTGAGATCAATGTATTCTCCCCTCTTTGGTCAAAATTGCCGTCGATTAAATCCCATTATGCTCCGCGACAGATCCAGCTGAAAGTCGACTGCCTGAACTCATCTTAAACCTATTTGGGGTTATCATCATGGGCTATATAACTTTACACTACTGTAAATGAGTTGACCTTCAATCTCGTATTCTCTTTTCAACTACATATACAGCCAATCCACGTCCAACGCCCATAACTACCTAGATTTGTATATTTAGATTGCAACTGCTTCCGCCCGGGTGCTCACCGCATTCAACGATCCTATGTACATATGCACACAGCCGTCCTATCTCGTCTCTGAGATCAAGAACATTCTCGACCCCAGAGAAATGTGGGATTTGGCCCCCCCTCCCACCCAAATGAGAGGACCGCATTACATCCAGTTTCAAGCTTCGGAGATATGTAATATAAATATTATAGTTAGCTGTAGTAATGTGTAGATATAAGATACTATTTAATCACCGGTTGTGGACATTGTTTCGTTTTTTCACCCGCTGCACACCCCCCCCCCCCCCCCCGGGGGGGGGGGGGGGTGGAGGTGGGGGGGTAATTGCAGATACGCAGTTTATTGTTGTAGATAGGTAACCACTTGTATGTGATCTACACGCTCATTACTCTGATAGATATGTGTTAATACGTACCATACTTTTTGGTCAAACTAGGAACTGGATATAATATTGTAATTAAGCGGCAGTGAGTGGCCATGAATGAGAAGCATGAGATATCACTCGACGCGCACTTAAACCCTTTTTTTTTTTTTTTGCTTTTAGTGTCAGCTAATACATAATTCCTCACCGACGACGTACGAGGAAAAAAAAAAAAAAAAAAGAGGGCACTTCATTTTTGTTGTAACGCTGATCTCAGCTAACAACGAAAAGTTAAGAAGGTAACGTACCCCCACACCCGCGTATCACTAACTAATCTACCACCCCCCGCCCAATAGTTCCGCACAAAATGTTTGAAAAACCTACCTAGAGGTCTCGTATACATATATGTAGCTATGGTTGGCTCATGGCCATGGCCTAGCTTCCCGTGAAAAGTTTTATAACCTGATCACCACGCACGCACGCGCGCGCCCGGGGAACACAAACTGCTCGGCTTGTAACTCCTCGGCTGGCTGGAGGGGGTGGGGACGTGGGGAGGGCAGCTTGTGAAGGGGAGGACCTTTTGGAGATTTCGGAGTTGAAAGTAGAAAAGGACCTAGGTCTAGAGCTTACTTAATTAAGGCACGGGAATCTTTCAGTCGTCTCGTCTCGGCAGCTCGTGCATGGACCACACGAAACTGACTGCCGGTGATTGTAAAATCACACAAAACCATTATCAAATTTGGCGATAAGCTTGTTTTGGAGCTGTGTGGAAGGGACTGGTAGTGCTGAGTGAGGTTCGTGGTGAGATAAGCTCCACCTCCCCAATCGTTCATGTAGGCACATTCTCGAGGCCTTGTTGCGCAATGCATACATGTATGTGCATATGTGTTTCTACAGAGGATATGATGTTTCAGGCTGTGGCTTTTACATCACATGACTTGGGCTTGATTGATTAGGTGGCCCATATGGCCCGTGGGGATTAGTGGAGGCTTGCGTATATGTATTCTGTTTCGTTTGATGAGCTACGTATACCTATACATCATGACTGCTACGCGTTTCTGAAATACCTTCGAGCAAACATCATATGCACGGTGAAATCTCAGGAGAGATCTCTTCTTTGCAACGCAGAGGCATCTAAGCTTAAGGAGGTCTGATTCCGAAAGTCTTAATCCATGGGCCCGATGAAATGTAGTACAACTCATCAACATCATCACAAAAAAGGGCATCTCAATGGTTGAAGCAACATCAGAATCGAGAGGTCATCATAGAGGAAAGGCACCGGGAGAAGGACCAGAAAGGCATCACCATGAAGTGCTCACCCTGAGGTAATACATTAATTGATTTGTCCATTTTGATCAGTGATCACCACTTTTTCATCTCGGTTTATAATTGGTATGGCTTTAGTATCCGTATTCCCAAGTACACTTTGCTTACTTTGCAGGACGTTTAACGCTGTGTCCTGTTGATTTTGCTGACTTTGCAAATTTTTTTTCCAGACTGCTTCCAAAGAATTGGCTGGATATGCGCCCCTGGGGCCAGTTTCTCTCATCATCAGTAATTCTGGAGGCACCACCACCCTTGACGGAGGATCCGGGTCGTGGATCCGTTTTGTTTACGAGAGGAAATCGAACATATGCACTCCCATCGCACAACAACAACCAAGCTGGCCAGGCCTGTGTTTCCCCATCCCTTGAGCACATATACACACAATCGAGTACCCATACGCTCCAATGCCCCGAGATTCGGTCCTGGGACCCTTTGCGAATCGCCATTGCTCAGGATGCACCTTCCAAACGTGACACGCCAATCCGCTGTTGTCCTTACCCGTCCTTCGCCAAGAGTGATAAACGGTGACGCGTAACAACAAGGGTTCGATATTAAGGCACACCGACTGGGATCCGGCTAGTAAACCTCAAACAAACGGCACGCGCCGGACTGGGAACTTGTCGGGCGATCAATCAGTTGCTTGCTAGTAGTTGCTAGTACAGCGGATATCTCTGGCAACTAGCTAAGCAGTTCCTTAAGCTCCCTATTCACAGAGTTAATCAATCAATTGGTCAACATCAAGTTGGTAAAACAATTCACTCCACAGGAGGATATGCTTATTCACAGCCACAAGCAAGCAGGTAGGTACAGGCTCTAATAGTTTGATAAAGTTTATGATTTCCACCGAACTACACCAGCAACCTATAAAAAAAACCCTTTCACAAAAAGAATCTAGAGAAAAATAAAAAAGAACACATGTACAAACACGCCACCACTTCCCACCTAGGGGGAGGAAAACAATGAAGTACAACGCCGCCACATGAAAAATATAGAATTAGAGATTACACCAGGCAGGACTAAAAAAAAGTGTATTTTTTTTCCAGTCATCTCTTGCTATGCTACAGAAGAAAAGTCATCAATCCATCGTCAGAACGGTAGACGGAAAAAAGCTCTCTATCTCTTTAAACAAGGACGTAGGCAGCGGCGGCGAGGGCCACAGCAGCGAAGGAGAAGCCCTTGGCGGCAGCAGCGCCCTCGAAGGTGTCCTGGACAGCGCTGGCGCTAGGAGATGAAGGAACAACCGGGGTTGAGGTGTTGAGGGCAGCTGAAGGAAGGCCAGCAGAGGCTGAGGGGGTCCATGAGTAGACACCAGTGCTCAAGGGAACGGGAGGAATTGACTCGTGGGCCTTGACGGTTCCGGTGGCAGAGGTGGGGACAGCAGCCGGGGCAGAGACAGAGCCGGTTCCGGCAGCTGGGGAGCTGACAGCGGGGGTCTCAACGGCAGCGACGGTGGAGCTGGCCGGGATGGTGACGGACTCAACTGGGGCAGATGATCCGGCAGCTGGGACAGATGCGACAGGCTCGACAGCTGGGGAGGAGGCGACCGGGGCCGAGGTGTAGACCGGGACGGACTCGACGGGGGCAACGGTCGGGACAACCTCGGCGGAGGTGGCGGTAGCACGAGCCGGGCAGTTGGTCTTCTCGGGAGCGCAAGAGGTGATGGTGACGACCTCAGTCTCGTAGACAACGGCGGGGACAGCCATGGCAACACCGAAGACGGCGGCGGAAACGGCAATGGCGGAGAAACGCATGTTTATTGATTTGGTTCTTTAAAAAGGTAAATAGATTCTTTAAAAAAGTGAAGTGGTAATTAAGTAGGATAAGGTGCGAAAGAACGTGGTAATGATCGTGTGTGCTAAAAGAGCGACTGGAATGAATGACTATGCAAGATAGGATGCTGTGGGTAAAGAAGAAAGGAAGTCATTTATGGAGGGGGAAACAGCGGCTCCTTATACCATTCTCTGCACACTACACAACTCCACCAATTCACAGTGTCTCTCCAACGTGCCCGCCGACATGGGTTCTTGGTGGGCTCTTGGTGAGAAAGGGGGATGTTTCCATTCCGGGAGTAGTTTAATGTCCATCCTTAATGAACATCCACGCTGTGCGCAGTTGGTTCATCTATTCACCTCCTAGATCAACAAGTATCAGGCACACTCTTGAACAATTTCGGGAAGAGCCCCTCGTCCGTGCTGAGGACCTCGCTGAATACCCTGAACAATACCAAGGTTTCCTTTCACACCTGCCTGCCTGCTTCGAGGTTCCTCTCTAGCTCTTGCCTGCCATTCTACTCTATTTTTGAGTAGGGTACATGAAGTACCTTCAACTACGAGCTATACACTGAGGAAAAAAACATGGAAGCCGAGATTGGAAGCAGACCCTAAGGATACGGGCAATTTGGTCCCTTGTCCAAACAAAAGAGCAGAAATAGAACTCGTTATTGTTGCCCATCCATACAGGTACTTGAGAGGTACATACATAGCAGCGCTAAACAGCAACCAAAAAGCCGCCAAGTCCCAGTGCCAGGTGAGCGGAGCGGTGTGATAGAGCTTCCCCTGCATCATCAACACGTTAAATTACGCCCAGTATGCCGCCCCTCTCTGCAGCCACACTTTTTATATCTGTGTGGGTGTATTGTGGGTTTTTGATAGGCATCTATCATGCACCGAGCCCCCTTTGCAGGTGCAATCTGAAGCGACCGTTATTTCGTTTCGTTAAGATCATGATATGAGATAGGGAAGACCGTGTACCCTACCCTACATACATGTGGCAATCCAATGGGGTTTCAAGTTTCAATTGCATGTGTTGCGAGATCGAGAGGCAACAAAAATAAAAGTTACTTCCAACGTCCATATACCTGGTAACGATAGAATAGATCTGCCCCTCAGGCAGATTGTCCCATCGGGGCCGAGGATCCTACTGGATTCAAAAACAAAAACAATATCCCATCTCATCTCATAATCACCTACTCTATCTATCTGCCAGCGCAGCCACTTAGGTTCCCCTGGATCATGTGCTCCATATGCCGTTCCTGATCGCCCTTGCTGATTTCTCCATATTCATCTGTGGTACGGTGGTACCTGAATTCAACCTCCACTCTAGTTTCTAGGGATTTTACCGGGGAACCAACCGACGACACGACCGCCCCCCGCGCGTGCATGCAATATAGTAGCTGCTTTGAACGGATCCAAGCGGAACTTTTTTTTTTTTTTTTTACGGTGCCTGCATGATCATGTAGTTTACCACTTCTCTAAGTTCTCTCCGGCGTCGGCCGTGATGAAATGGGTTTCACCAGTCCTTCTCAGGGACCGGAGACGAGAGCGTCTGTCCGTGCATGTGCAAAACAGGAAAGTCGCTAGATGGACAGACCGACGACGGAGACTGCAATTCGGGTGGCACAGCGAGCGAACGAACGAACGAACGAACGGAACCCCTACCCTGGCTGGGCTTGTGGAGTATACGCGGTACGGCAGCTACTCGTCGACTGTATACAACAGGTAATTTTTCGAAGCTGTAGCTGAAGCTGAAGCTGAAGGGAAGGAAGCTACTTTCTAGAGCTATCTACAGTAGCTATGCCTATGCCTAAACGATACCCTTGGCAAATTGATCTCAAGGGGGGGAAGGAGAGCTGTGCGAGCGATGGACGTTCTGGAAGAGTGAATATGGGCGGTTAGAAATACATCTACATCTCCTCCCTGTACAGCGCATGCGCAATCAATTGCAAGAGATGTAAAGTCATCAAAAAAACTTTTACACGGCTCTCGAGAAAGAAAGGAGGTCTCGGATACGCGTCCCAATTGATACCATCCGTATTTCAAATGGAGTTACTACTGCTGGATCTGCACCTCTGTCGGTAGATATTTTCCCGTATTGTCTCCCTCTTCAAATTCCCTAGTATGATAACTTTTTGTACATCTATTTACAGTAGGAAAGCGGGTTGAGAAGAGATGCCAAAATCAACTCGAAAGGGATAAGAAACAAGAAACAAGAAACAAAAAAAGGGAAACAGAAAACCAACAGAAAACATAAAAAATCAATTGCCCTGTAAATTCTCACCCATACAGAGAGTTTCCTACAGTGGACAAGAACTTACAAGCCCAACGAACGGTCCCGTATAAATTTCCCCCCTCCGTTAAAGCATGCTTTTCGTTTTGCAACTTTTATCCGTAAAGAAATAAAATATACAGTCAAAACCCATCCGTCACCATCCATCAGATCCGATTAAAGAAAAACAAAACAAAAGAAAGATTTATTTTGGTTTCGCCGAGCAAAGAAAATAACATAGATGAAAGATATCGAAATAAAAGAAAAAGCTACTTATCATGTTCTAGAAGCACTGCCTCCACCACCCCCGCGCCTCTTAGGGTTGGTCTTGCCCTGTCTCTTCTTCTGCTTCGGGCCCTCAGAACCCTCAATGAACTTCAACAAATCGTCAATACTCCTCGAGTCCATTCCTGACCTGCTGGTCGCGGTGGTGGTCGATTCCGGCATCCCCAGAGAGCTCTGGCCAACCTGTGGCTGGGGCTTTGCAGACATCGTGACGCGTGGTGTCATCTGCAACATACGTTTGCGGCGTTCCTGAAGATCCTTCGCCTGTCTCGCAAGAGTCACAGCGTTCTGTGTGAGTTGCTCGAGCCAGTTCTCAGCCTCCTTTGTGTTGCGGTCCTTAGGTCCGAGCTGTGCGAGGAAGACGTTGTAGGCATCACGCATCTTGCTGACAGCACCCTTGGAGTCGTTGTCGAGGGCAAGAGCTTGGGCAAGCTGGAAGCAAAGAGTGGCAGTGTGCGGTGAAGACTTTCCGAAGATGTTTTCGCAGACCTTGAGTGATGCCTCGAACCACTTGCGGGAATCGGTGTAGTACTTGAGAGCTTGGAGCATGACAGCGACATTGTTCATGGTGGTGACAGAGTCTGGGTGGGAATCGCCATAGATGACTCTCCAGAATCCAAAGGCGTGCTTGATGTAGGCCAGAGCGGTCTTAGTGTTACCGCTGGCATGCTCGAACAATCCCAAGTTGAGGTAGTTGAGGATAGTCTCTGCTGAATCGACACCAAGAGTGCGCTCAGAAACAATGACTGCCTTCCTTGCAAGCTCTACGGCAGCGGCCTTCTCATCGAGCTGGTAGTACAGCATTGAGAGAGTGTTGTATACACGGGCGACCTCAGGGTGCAAAACTCCATAGATTTGCTCATGTAGAGAGAGCGACTCAAGAAGCAATTCCTGACCAATGTCCTTGTGGTCCTGGATGAGAGAGATACGGCCGGCTTCAAGGGCCTCCTCAGCCAACTGGCTCTTGGACGCAGAGTCTTTAACAATTGGGACAATGTTCATCAAGTCATCAGGCTCGAAGGTTGATCCACTCTTCGAAACCTCAGTAAAGTCGGCAACCGATGCTGCGGGAGACTTCTTCTTGCCCTTGCCAGACTTTCCATTGCCATTTGTAGGAGTAGGCTCCTCTTTAGGCTTAGCAGCCTCGCCTTCCTTTACGGAGCCAAACTGGTAGTCTTTAATTCTCATCTGAAGACCCAACTTGAGAGCAATTTCACGGAGCATTTGGAGAGGCTTAATCTTGGTTTCCCATCCTGCCTCAAGTTCAAAGCGGTACCTCTTCTGAACCTCCTTCTCAATTGAGGCACGGAGATCCTGGATGTTAAGCTGCTCAAAGCTGAAATCGGCATCATGGTACAATTTCCATAGACCATCATCCTTAACAACCTTAGGGTTAGGGTTGTGCTCAGCTCCGAGAAGGCAGTTGAGGAAGTGAGAAATGCAGAAAGGTGCAAGAGGGTTAGGCAGGCCACGGAGGAGACCGTTGAGAATGTACTTGCAAGCTCTAGCAACCATTTCCTGGATGGAAATGATTTGGATAGAGATAAGCTTGTTGCCCTGTTCAAGCGCGAGCTTGGCAATAGTTCCAAGGTAGCGGACGTTGATACCGCGCTTGTGCATAAGGCGGGTGAGCGAGTGACCGTCCATGGGGGAGCCGACCTCGCCTTCCTTGAGGTCCTCAATCTATGGAAGATTAGCAGTGGGATTTTGATGGTCGTGTATTTGGGGGTATACCAGGCGTGGGATGATCTTCTCCTGCAAGAATGCGCATGCGTCTCGGACATCCTTCTCATCCTTCTCCATCTGCGCCTTCTCCTCATCGGTCTGGGGAACCTGTCCGGACATGACATCAGGGTTAAGCGCGAAGTCAAAACCAGAGATGTCAATGGTTTCCTGAGCCTCCTCGGGCTTCTTCTCCGCAACCTCCTTGGATTCCTCCTCGCCTTCCTTGGCGGCCTGCTTATGTCCGTTAGCCTTGATTTTGATCATTTCTTGCATTCCGGTCACTGACCTCGCCCTCTACGGGAGTCTCCTCCTTGGCCTCCTCCTTTGCAGCCTCTCCAGATGGCTCCTTGGCCTCCTGCTTGGCCTCTTCCTTGGCGGCTCCCTCAACTGCGGTAGCATCTTCCTTGGTCTTCTTTCGCTTCTCCAACTCTGCTGAGACATACTCTCTCATCTTCACCTTCCAGAAAGCCTCCACAAGCTCCGGCCTCAGTACGGCCATTCTGTGCGGGTAGCCACCCTCAGTAACGCCCTCAACGCCCTTCCAATACTTTTCAATAAAGTCGATATCCAACGGGGTAATCCTGTACAAATCGAGCACGTATTTCCTTCCATCAGTTCCCAACAATCCCTTGGTCTCCACGGAAGCGACAAGCTCATGGCTCTTCTGCTCCTTATCCCAAACAGTGTGCTTCTTCACCCGCATAGCCTGGCTCATCTTCTCAAACAACGGGACAAAGATCTCATTAGACGCAACAACGTCCTTACCCTCTACACCACCGTAATCGATCTGCGACTGTCCCTCTTCCCTGGGGCGGAAGATACCGGGAACAATGCTCTGGGCCACCAATCGGCGTCCCATGTAGTCAACAACAACAGTTCCGGGGGTCTGCAGGCCGGGGATGTCGAGTCCATTAACAGCCTTAACACCCATAACATCCTTTCCAGTCGCAACTCTTGCTGCCTCATCACCACCCTCGCTGGCAAAAGTGCCGACTCCATCACTACCGTGGGAGAAGAAGATGTTGTTATGGACGTAGATCTGCGCATCCCTTCCTTCCGTTGGGTTCAATGGCGCAAGCTCTCCCCTTGCGATCGCAACTGCGCCGCGGACGGCAGCATCTGTATAGTCGGCGAACAACTTTGAGAGAAGGCGCTCGCGGAAAACACGGTCCTGGACGGTCTCACGGGGCAGTTCACGGGTCGACTGGAACTCCTCGTTGAAATCGCGGAGGGAGTCGCCGCTCTCGGTTCCTGAGATGAGGTATGTCTCTTGTGGGCGGGCTTGGTCGGCCTGGTGGCTGGATGTGTTTTGCCCCGGAACCAACCACGGAGAAGCTGGGATGGCATTGGTGGGAGGGTATGTGATTAATGGGTCCTTACGGCTGTTCCACTCTTGAAACGTAGCGAAATCCTTCTCAAAAGATGGGGAAATCATGCTCAAGAGGGTGATGAGCGAATGGGCGCTTTGCAACTTCGGGGAAGTCTTTGGTGTAGGGTCAAACTTGTTGTTTGTGCATTTGTTTACGTAGAACCCAGAAACATGGGCGGAAATCTGGAATTGCTCTCCCTCATTTGTGGTTACCTGAAGGTACAAGAGGTGGCCGCGCTGTCTAAGGTTGTGTGGTGGAGGGTTCCACGATGAAAGGCACATACCCTTAATGCACTTTAGTGGAGGGGTAGGGTCGACTTTAGGGAGAAAGTGGTCTAGAGAAGCCGGAGCATCGAAATCGTAGTCGGACATTGGGTGACGAGCGTCCTCGGCCTTCTTGCCCTTTGCATCCTGCGCATCTTCGCCTTGGCTGAGCCCGTCGAATAGAGAAAGCCCTGCCTGGATGCCGTGAACAACGTCTACACGGGGGGCAGCTGCACCGATCAATTCCCGTATCCGCAGAATATGCATCCTAGCCTCCTTTTCGGTGTATGGGTCCTCAACGAGAACGAGCTCAGAGTCGGGCCCAATGCCAGGGACATCGGTGAGCTCAACGAAGTCGCTGATTCTGGTGCCATTGTGTTCAAGATGGAAGCAAGTGTATTGGAATGTCCCTGGGAGCTCAACAATAGTCTGTCGGATATCCTGGACTTGCTCTGAGGGGGAGACCTGAACGATAATAGAAGCATTCGCAGTTAGGAATCTTTGTAAATATAATATTTGGGAGTGATAAATCTCTTGAGCCCAAATGTCAATGACGTACCATGATGTTGATCTTATGAGGCTTGTGCGGAAGCTTAACCGTTAATTGAAACACTACCGTCATCGCAAAATTAGCAATCTTGCAAGAAAATACCCTATTGAAAAGAGAAGTATCATCCGTGCACAATGCCTAGCACCCCCACTTGAACTTGACACTCTATGAACCCCACAAACTTGGCGAGCAATTGAGTGATGGGGAGAGATATTTCAATCACGAATAGGAGGTTGGAATCTTACAATCCTGAGACTGCTCCTCCGCCGCGGCCTCCTCCTGAACATTTTCGGTCTCCTGCTGGATAACTTCAGCAGTGGTCTCGTTGGCGACTTCATTTTCTATCCCGCAATGATGACAACATCCCCACAATTAGCACAGGCACCCCCAATTTGTCAGGCATAATCTATATCTTATTTTCAAAAGTCATAGAATAAAAGAATACTCACGAATCTCAGCAACGGGATCCTTTGAGGGAGCCATGATGACTGATGGTTGTCAAATTTACAGTAAACCAGGAATGGCACGACCGGATGAGATTCTTTCCACAAACAAGCGACTAACTGAAGCTTATCAGAGCCGTCTGGTGGGTGAAGTAAGGGGGAAAAATTAAGAAAAAAAGGAAATTCGAAGAAAAACAAAAATCTATTGTTTGCCTCGTGAATGTTTTGAAAAAAAAGGTTTCCTCGGGATGGATGACGAGGGGTGTTGAGATGATGATAGAAGTGAGATTTTTTTTTTTTTTCCGTTCTGTGGGGCAACCGGCAACACCCATCCATGCATGGCAACCTTCCAAAGACTTTTTTTTTCGCACACTTTTTAGGGCCATGGTCGGGCGAAAGATGCACCAAGGAAAAAAAAAACATCCGGCTCTCTTCTCCTCTCCCCCGCGAGAATTACCGAGAGTTCGGTAATTCAATTGCCCGGCGAGCACAGCGGGGATCCAAAAGCGGGAAAAACCAAAACGGGGATCCGGATCTTTTTGAGTTGCCCCACCAAAAATTGGGGGTGTGCCATACTCTACTCTACTTAGAGTAGGTACGGTACCCTACAGATTTCGTGGATGGGATGCGAGTCGTCAATGCATACATACTGCACCTGCAGGCAATTGCGCAAGACGTCAACTGATATGCGTCGGACAATAAATAACATCAATATCTTCTAGAATTCTGCCTCATCAAAGCCATAACTTATCGGCAAAGATTAACTGCGGCCCATTCCTAATTGAACCATTTCACTCGGAGAAGCCTCTAGCTGCCTATTCAGGATGAACCAGAGAAGAAGACTCGGTGAGTACTGAGTTCAACTCAACAGCAATTGTTTATACAAATTACACCGCTGGATATCATCATAACCATAGATAGAGAAGGTCTCTCTTGCTGAAGTAAAGATAGAAAGTAAAATCGAAGCTATGGCTCTAGTTTGGATCGGAGTTCTTGTAGAAATTATAAAAACTGCACTGTTGTACGATACTTCTAATAATAAAAACACCTTACTGACAAATGGCATACCAGTTTGTTTTCTTACGACCAGAGTACTCAGTATTATAGTGCTTAGAGGGCGAGCATTGACATTAGAGGATTTTAGCTGAACGAATTCGAGCACTCTGAACAGAAACCCATGCACTGTTCAACCAATCGGGAGCGCGTGTTTTGTCCAATTCGTACAGCTAAAAAGCTAAAAACCCTCTATCATCCTATGGTACTGTTAGCACTAATTACAACCACGATGACAGCCGTCAAAGTTGTTCAATTGCGAAAAGAAATATAGCCTTCGTTTCTCTAAATCTGTTTACTCAAAGAAGCGGATTATAAACTTCATTCGCGAGAAGTTGAGTTCTATTCTAGGTCGCTATGGGCTGCAACGAAGATGTCTTGGCGGCCGAGTGATACATCCTGAAGCAACATGTTTGGGGCGTAACGACTAGGCCAGGAGAATCTGGGACCGCTGGTAACCAACCAACAGTGTAGTGTCTATCTCATTTCAAGGCTGTAGATATCTTACAATTGATGAGTAGAAATATACTTAGTTTAAGTAAAAAATCTCTCAGCTTCTGCCTACATGTATGTAGTTATATTATGTGTGTAAAAGAGGTTAAGGATATCGTGGCGAAACGTGATAACAGCATGGCACTAAGGGAAGCTAGGGGAGTATTTAAGGCTGTCCCCTCCGAAACCTCCTCATGGAATCAACACCAAAGACACCCCCGTCGAATTAACTCCTACACCGTCCGTCCGGGCTCTAAGTCGATAAATTTGATAGCCAATACTGCGGTGTCTACTTATCACCGCCAACCACCTCTAAAGTAGAGTACAAGACAAAAAAAGAACCCTAGACAAAATAAAAATAAAGGAAAGATATAAAAAGACCGATGACAGCCACCACCATACCGTCGCAATGCAGATAACAAAGGACAAAGGAAATTTCTGGATCGGGTAGACTATCCATGGTTCCAAATCAAATCAGGAGAATAAAAAAAAACAATCAAAGCGCCCCAGGTATTTTGATATATATGATAAATGGAAAAAGGAAAATGGACAGCCAGAGTCCAGTGAGTGCCGTACGGAAATAAAAATAAAATGTAAGCCGGGAAAGATAATACAAGAAACAGAACCAGTTTCTCCAAATGCGTGGTATGTGCAGGTGGGAGGGATATATTTACAACCGCCGCGAGCTTGTCGGCGAGATAGAAATCAAGTTAACCAGAGAACTAATCATCCGATTTTTCCGCGTCTCTGTCACCGGGTGTCACGTCCCAGGAAATGGTCTTTTCAGTTTGGCCCTTATGGTTCTTAACCGTCATATTGTACTTCCCGCCATGCCAAAGATCCTAAAATAACCCAGGTCAGTCCCCGGTCTCGCATAGTTGTATAATACCAAATTGGGGTTCAGTCTTACCTTTATTGTGATCTCCCTCGTTCTGCCCAAACTCTCGATATCACTGATTCTCTGCAGCGTATCTTCCAAGTACTCATCAAATCCCTCTTCGGCCACCACCTCTCTAAACGCATTCATCATGGGTACGCTATCGGCCCTAACCTTGCTGTCGCAGTCGATGGTGAAGATGTTGATGTGGTCAAACTCTTCGATAAACTCGGCCCTTGTCATGACCTCCTGGCTTTATACAGCTCCAACTCCGGCAGCTTATGCCCATGTATTCCATGATCATGTCCAGCGTTCTCCGCCTTCTTCGCGTCCTCCTTCTCCTTCTCCACCAAATGCCTCACAAGCACCATGGCTGAGGACGCAAACTTCTGCTGGTCCATCACATCATCGTCCATGTCCATCCCAAGCAGACCACACTTGTTCAACAGCCACGTCTTCTCGTCCTGGCAGATTTCTTTGCACTTTGCAATCATATCGCGTTCCTAGCAACCTTATTCAGAAAGGCAAGACGCCCGCCGACAAGATCATACACCTGCTCGAGGATATCCTGCTTCGGCGGCTCCTCCTTCCTATATTTCATCCTATAATTCTTGAGTGCCGCGATCGCCTGCGATCTCGGTAGATCCTTGACCGAGATCAGCTCCATCCGCGACCCGTACTGCTTCAGCCTCTCATACACCCAGTAATCATCACTGTTCAATATCATCGTGATCAGCTGACTCGCCGCCCATGCCTCCGCCTTCTGCTGCAGAAGCTCCAGCAAGTCTCGCCCGTTCTCGTCATTGCGCAGCAGATGCATGCTGTTTATGATCATGACCAGCGGCTTTGACTTTTCACCCTCGGCCTTGCGCCGGTTGATGGCCACCTTCTCAAGCTTGTTGAGCGCGCGCTCAATGTCGAGGAGAGCGGTGGTGTCGCGGGGCCCGCGGATGGAGAAGAGGGAGCCGATATAGTCCTCGTGGAATTCGAAATCGAGGGCCTTTCCGAGGCGCAGACGGAAAATTTCGGGGTCGGCGTGGGCTTCCATCATGGAGCAGGAATCGCCTTCGACTTTGTGCATGGCCGCGAGGAGCATGGATGTTTTTCCGGTCCCCTGGGGCACATGTGTTAGTTGCATAGTTTTTTATATCTCACCGGAGGGAGGTCCCGGCGAAATGTGGGGTTTCTGGGGGCTGGGGCGCGTCTCACCTTTTCTCCGACGAGGAGGTAATAGCGTCCGCGTGGGTCACCGCCTATGATCCTGTTGATCTTTTTCTGCTGCGGGAGCACGATCCTATGGCCGGGCTTGTTAGCCCGCTTCAAGGTGGGAATAGGATATCTCAATATATTACCAAGGTTGTTCATCATCCTTGTCTGCGCACGCCGTTGCCATACTCAGTGCTGGGTCATGGCCCAGGTTGAACGCGTTATCAATCTTCTGGAGCACGATACTCTTGTAGTACCTGTGGTAGCCGTATCCTGCGAGTCTGTAGTCGATCGATCCGCTCTGTCAGTAAAACCGCCCCCATACCATTCGCTCCACCATCTATATCCCACTCACCCAAAACACCCAGACTCATTCCTGTGGTTGCCGCGGCCTCAAAGACCTTCCACGCCGTACCGCTCCAATCATGTCCTTTATGTTTCTGTCCGCCGCTCCCACCGTTCCCACCGTTCCCACCGCTCCCACTGCTCCCACTGCTCCCACTGCTCCCACTGCTCCCACCACCATCACCACCGCCACTCCCACTACCACCTCTACCACTATCATTAATCGCGCCAACAACTTGGGTGCCGGGCTGCGGCTGTACAGTGTTTGCGGGGCCGAGCTGGTAGTCACTCCCACCTCCTGTTACAGCGCCAGTGTTAGAGGCCAGCCATCTATTCTGCTGCTGCAGCTGCGGGAATCGACGTGCTGCCAGGACGGCTCCGGGCCGTGCTGTGACGAGTGGTGAACTGCGGCAGTGCCGGAGCGTCCGCGGTATTACGGCGAGATTTGACATGTTTGTTGTGAAGGGGGGCCGGGGTGAGTACGTCTGGCTATCGCACGCGCGCACAAGGGTAAAGTGCGTGAAATAGGGTAGAAGAAAAAAAAATAAAGTTTCGGATTTAAAGATAGATTTTCAGTAGAAGTATGAGTGAATGATAGGGTGGATGGGGTTGGTTGTGGGGGGGGGGGGGGGTTGTGAGGTTATGAGGAGGTAGGATAGGACGTGATACAGGTAAGTCGGGGGTATTATTATTATTATTGCTACCGGGGGTGTCGGTCACTCCTAATCGATCAACGGCAGGGGAAGGGAAGGGAGCGTTGTGAAGAAGGGTTTTTCCGTATCGGTATCGTTACCGGCCAGAGAAAAAAGTAAACGTCACTGCGCTAACGGTTTCGGTGAAGCGTTTAAGGGGAAGAGAGACCTAAGTAAATAATCAGGGCAGGAGGAGGATCGATGTCGGCCAATAGCGGTAGGAAGCAATGTAGATTATATATGATGTATGCTTCAGGTTTCTCACGGGGGGAAATGATTCTATGATGATGATATGCAAATAAATACTTGTGTTGATGTCGACTTGTTGATGTGCGCGCGCGCCAAGGTCAATGATAGTTTCTCGTTTATTTTAACAGAACATGATGGGCATTGCGAATGTTTATAGACACGCTGCCGGCTATTCTCAAGGACGCCCAATCATCTCTTCGTCATCTACTCTAGTTGGTTGGCGCATAGAATGCAGGGCTTCTTGCTTTTTTTTTTTTTTTTTTTTCTGGGGAGGCGCAGCGTAAACTCTCTTGTCGTCTGCGCCTATCGTGGAGCAACAACGGCAATACCGAATGGTGTGCGGTTCTTTGGCCCTTGGGGGGGGGGGGGGGGGGCTTCCAACAATGCACGCACTAATAAAAAAGAGAGGGGAGCGGGGGAGATTTGGAATTGTTATTTGTAGATTGTTGGTAATGATCGGGATACAGCTAGCTAGCTCTGGCTACGAGGACTCCTGGGCAGAGTGGAATTGAAGTCTAGAAGCTGTGTAGGTAGGTACATGTAGACAGAGGAACCACGTTGTCTGTCTGTCGCAGCAGCAGCGGGAGAAGAGAACGAACGGGATCTGGGGGTCTGGCTGGGAGCAGTTTACTGTGTGGTGCAGCGCGAAGAAGAGCCTTTTAAAAGGGCGTCCTCTAGACTTAGAGTATGTACACCGTCACGGCAGAGTGAGCGAGTGAGCGTGCGAGTGACAGACTGAGTACTGAGTGATAGGGAGTAGTTACTCGCGAGGTATGGACCAAGTACCCGACGAATGTACGTACTGAACTGTGCTTCTGTATCGGAGCACGATCTTGGAACGATCCCTCCCTCCCTTTCCCCCCCCCACACCCATCTTCCTCCCTTTGCTTGGGTGGATCTCTGGGATAAATTGATATCCTATCCTCTCCACACACGGCTAGCCATAGTAGCTAGGTAGCTACCTAGCTGGGCTGGTTGGGGGGTTTATATTGATTGGTTGATTGGGTAGCATTCTAGAACGTGGGGCCGTGCTGTTCGGTGCCCGGTTCGTGTAACGCACCGCCACAGACAGCCTGGTTGGTTGTCTCTGACTCAAGCCACAGCCCCTGACGTAAGGTTCCCCGTGGTGTCTTTCTTCGTTCGTCAATACCAAGCTTGACGTGACCTCGACGACGACTGAGCAGACAGACAGACAGACTGACTGACTGACTGAGGACTGATAGAGGTCATCATCCCCTTCTGACCTCTCCATCAATTCCAACTCACCGCACATCTACATCTACACCTTCGTCTACGCAGCTACGCATCTACAGCATCAGCAGTATAACACAGCCGTAGAGATCACCGTTCATGCCCACGGCCCCAGCATAGCAATATAGCAGCATAGAATACAAACAACCATGGACCCCCCGCCCCCCACGCCCTCCGCCCCGCACCTGCCCAAGGAGAAACACGACTCCAACGGATACAACGATTCCAACGGCCACAGCGAGCCCAACGGCTACAACACCACCCCCCACCCCCGCCAGCATGGCGCTCCCTCATCCCCACAGGCATCGACCTCTTCACCGCATCCGTCTACCCCGCCACCCTTCTCCTCGGCTCCGTCTACAGCACCCTCTCCCCCGACACCGCCTCAACCGACTCCTACTTCTCGCGCAAATCCAACTTTGCAAACATCTTCTTCGTCAAATACGGCTGGCTCTGGACCACCCTCGTCTTTGCCCTGCACCTCACGCGGCTGCGCTCCCCCTCGCGGCCACAAGCCCTGCTGCGCTACGCCCTCGCCACACTCTGGTGGGTGGCCGTCACGCAGTGGTTCTTTGGCGCGCCAATCATGGACCGCACCTTCACGCTCACGGGCGGGGCGTGCCGCGCCGTCATGCGCGACCCCGGCGCCGTGAAGGAGGTGCTGGGCGAGAAGGTGCTTGCCGCGACGAGCGCGGCGTGTAAGCTGGCGGGCGGGCGGTGGCGCGGCGGCCATGATCTGAGTGGGCATACGTTCCTGCTGACGCATGCGAGTTTGTTTCTGTGGAGTGAGGTGATGCCGGTGCTGCGTGGGGTGCGTGGGTGGAGGGGGTGGCGGACGGGGGTGTGGTGGGGTTGTTGGCCGTGTGGTGGTGGATGTTGTTGATGACGGGGGTGTACTTTCATACGTGGAGGGAGAAGGTATGTTTTTTTTTCTTTTGCCCTTTGGGTTTTTTGCCCTTTGTTTTGGCTTTGGTTGGGGGGTGAGTGAGTGAGTGCTGACTTGGTGCAGTTGACGGGGTGGATCGTGTCGATGGTGCAGTGGTGCATCGTGTATGTTTGGGCGCTCAAGACTCAGCCGCAGATTAGAGATGTTGTTGGGGTTCCGAGCGTTTGATGCCTCCCCCCCCCCCCCCCCCTCTCGATCTCTCTGCCTCGAGTCGTTATTGTTGTGGAATCGTAAATATACACTTTTACGGTTGATTGCGGCATTCTTTTTCTTTCTTTCTCTCCTTCTTCTACTTCTTCACTTCTTCACTTTTGCGTTTCTGTGTTTCTGTGTTTTTTGTGCGCGGTATGCACATAGGGAATTCCCTTTTTTTATTTTTATTTTATTGAATATATAGAGCCCCCCCACCCGGCGGTATTGGGGGGGGGGGGGGTACTGTAAGGATTTTGAACGTTTTTTTCTTTCGACTCAGGTTGTGCATGTGGGCTGTGGGTTGTAGTGAATGAGGGATAAAAAAGATTTATCAAATGCTATATATAATTTTTTTTATATTACACCGATATCTATCACTATTGACATATTATGCGTGTTCTCTGCTGCTGCTGCCTAGCTAGGTAGGTAGGTAGCTGAGTGCTGTAAGGCTGTAAGGCTGTTGTGGTGGTTATGGTGGGTGGTACAAAGTGCAATATCACAGGTATATGGCGCAGTAGAGTGGGCGGTCGATCAGTCGGCGGTACTGTAAGTACCGCCAAAACTCGAATAATTCGTTATCTCCGCATCTAGGCTCGGCGGACCGAAAAAGGGTATAAATGACGATCTTTATAGCTGATCAATGTATGTAGGTACATGTTATTCCCCATCCGCAATGAATTCAATGGCTTCACTATCATCATACTGTCTACTAACTTCCGCATATGTACATTCTTTTACTGTATTAGTATAAGACCTTCTACAGTCACCTATTTCAAGACCAGCGAACCCTTTGATGTCAAGTTCGTGATCTGCACTGCCATCAACCGGGAGTGATAGCCCAACCTTCCTAAATACTTTTTTTACTAACTGTTGTTTTTCAATACAGAACCCATACCACGCATCGCCTACACACCATGTAGTGAGAACACGTCTTTGTGCTGTAGTCCATTTCTCAAAAGTGGAACTGTGTTCAATGATCGCTTCGTCTGTCAAATCCCGGATTTTGTCTTTTAACGGTTTGTTGATGGAGACATCAAGGGGTTGCACTAAGCTAGTGCACCCGGCTGGAATTATGCTGGGTACAATATTGTTTTGATGTAGCTTATCGAGTACTGCCGTAGTTTTGTGGGATTTACACATATCGAGAGCGAATAACGATGGCCTACCTTCTAGTGCTGGTAATAAGTAGGTGTCAATGTATTTGAGGAATAAAGTGTCTGTAATATATGCTTCTTGATTAAACTCTACAATCACACCCGGATGGTACTCTTTGGATTCGTTGATTAAACGTTGACTTATGCCTTTACCGTGAAAGATGATCATAGGAGGAATTCTATTCACCCCGTCTGCAAAGATGCATAATACCAGACTAGCTTGCCGCTTGTCCCAACCATTCCTTGTTTCTTTTACCCAAACTGTACGATCACCGACTGGATTATACGTTTTACCGCTAAGATACTCGAAGGGTAGAGGCGTTTCATCGAGGTTGCAGATATTGCTGAGCTGGAAACGGCCAAGTTCTCTATTTAGAACAGTCTCCATCCATGAACCCCCAAGAAGTTGAGAGTTACGCCGGTTGAATTGAAGCCAACTGACTATAAGCCGTCTATAGTCTTCAGGTACCTTTTGAGCTTTCTTAGTTATGCACCGAAGACTAATGCGGTACCGGCCTAGGAACGCTTCAAACCATCCATTCGAAAATCGGAAAATGGAGGTACTAGCGTTAGGATAAATCTCTCTAAATAGAACATTGGCGTGTAACCTGAACCAACCACGGCGGATAGGTTGTCCTACTGCTCGCTTCTCTAGGAACAGATTATATAGACGGCTTTCAAGTTCAGGCCACCTACATATCACTCCCTCAAGAGTACGGGCACTTCGTATAATACTCGTGCCACCAAGTTTCTCAATACCCCCTTGCTTCCTCACCCACTCGCTAATAGTTGTTTGAGGTACACCATATACATCTGATGCCTCCTGTTGGGTCGGCCTTCTGTATTCCCCATTGCTTAAAGGGATACGGTGATGGCTAAGGAAGACCAACACTCGGATTTTTTGCTTTTGACTCCAACTCCTCTCAGGTCGTACTATCGTCTTCAAGTCCTTTGTTGTCAACTTTCGTTGTTGAATGGGTTTTGGTTTCGGGCCGGGTTTGGTATTTTGTATTTTAGAAGACAACGGATGCAAAACATTAGTTGAAGACTTCTCCATAGCGGTTTTTGAACGGACTCACTTGATAGATCCTCAGCGGGAACAGAAGTTCTTGAACGGGTCCCTTTTGAAAGTGCAACTGATTTCTAGAAGCCTCTGTGGATCATGCATTACGATCCGCACATATATGCCCTTTTTCGGTCCGCCGAGCCCAAATACGGAGATAAAGCCCTGTCAGGAGATAACGAATTATTCGAGTTTTGGCGGTATTGTATTTCTACATAGAGCAGTAAGGCCAGGCCAGGGCAGGTAAGGCTGATCTGCAGCAGTAGCATCAAGTAGAGTTATTTAGACGCCATGTGCAAGTTGCACATCACCAGATTGCGCAAAATGAATCACCCCCCCCCCCCCTCCCCCATCTCCCCGCACACACACACCGCTCAGCTGGGATCGCTATCATGAGATCAGGGACGCGCGCAGGGCAGGGAAAGAAAGGTGCACGCCTTATCATTACCCCACCATCCACCACTGCAGAAGGGAGCTAGGCCGGATGTGACAATCAAACCCTAAACCGATCTCCACCCAGCACGTGACAATCATTGATATCTCCATATTCCTCCCCGCCAAAGCTCGCCCGCAGTTTCTATAACCTCCACCACCTCCACCACCTCCACCACCACCTCCACCACCACCTCCACCTCCACCACCTCCACCTCCACCACAATGGCACCGGCACATGCAAGACACCTCCTCCCTGCCCGCCTGTCGCAGCGCCGCTTTCTAGCTACAGCGTCGAATCCGAACGCACCACCGACCTTCCAGGTCTTTAATCGCGCCGTCAAGCGGCTGCAGCGCGACCGTGCTGCTGCAAATAAGGAGGCGAGTAGGAATGTGGACTATCTCAAGGATGAAGTCGCTGACCGCCTTGTTGAGCGCATCCTCGTACGCCTGCCTCCCCTTCCCCCCCCCCCCACCCCCACCGCTCCTCCTGCCGCCGGGGGAGAATAAAACACTGACTCCCCAAGAGCTAATCAACCGGCCGCTCCCGCGCGTCCTCGACCTCGGCGCCGGCGCCTGCCACATCGCCCGCTCCCTCACCAAGCCCCGGCCCGACGAGCCCGCCCCCGTCGCATCACGCATCTCGCACCTGATCTGCACCGACATGTCACCAGCGCTACTCCACCGCGACGCCGACGCGCCGTGGAACACAGAACTAAGCATCGAGCGCATCGTGGCCGACGAAGAGTCGCCACTGCCATTCGCCGAGAGCAGCCTCGACGCCGTGGTCAGCAGCCTGAGCATGCAGTGGATCAACGATCTCCCGGGCGCGCTCTCGCAGGTGCGCCACCTGCTGAAGCCCGACGCGCCGTTCGTGGCGGCGATGGTGGGCGGCGACACGCTGTTTGAGCTGCGCACGTCGCTGCAGCTGGCCGAGTCGGAGCGGCTGGGCGGGGTGAGCCCGCGCGTGAGCCCGCTGGCGGACGTGCGCGATGTGGGCGGGCTGCTGCAGACGGCGGGCTTCACGCTGCTGACGGTGGATGTGGACGATATTGTGGTGGGGTATCCGGATGTGTTTGCGCTCATGGCGGATCTGGGCGCGATGGGGGAGGGGAATGCGGTGCTTGGGAGGAAGGAGGGGCCGGTGGGGAGGGATGTGTTGGTCGCGGCGCAGGCGATTTATAGGGAGTTGCATGGGAATGAGGATGGGACGCTGCCGGCGACGTTTAGGATTATTTATATGGTGAGTGCTCTGTTTGCCGTTGCGGTTGTGGTTTGATGCTGATGAGGAATAGATTGGATGGAAGGCGAGCGAGAACCAGCCAAAGCCACTACCGAGGGGCAGCGGGCAGATCAGTATGAAGGACATACTGGAGGGCAGCACCACCCCAAGCCCGGAGGGGAGGGGGAAAAGAAATAGAAAGGTAAGAACAGAAAGAAAGACTTGTGCGTAATGGTATTATCCTTCTTGCTGAGAACTCCAGGGTCTTTTCCATAGATGCGCCGAATAAAAATAAAAAGAGCCTTTGCACCACCCAAACCCCGCCATTGTGAATAGCCCTGTATGCCATCGTTACTTGTTTGTATGTCCATCGTGGAAAATATAGGTCAATGATCATTTCCCATGTATCTTTATTAGTGACAATGTCTCATGTGTGTGGCTAGCGCCACTGTAGGGGCGCTGACATATTTTCATCCCAGAATATGTCGACATAGACTCCCCTTTACAAACCCACAGCAACCTCAGAAGGATAATCGAAAAAGGCAACGGGAATCTATAATCTCCAGCCTCTTTGTACGACCGTGTTACTCCCTCACTCGTCTCGGCAGGTTACAGGCCCACTTCCCCGGTATTTCACTCGGGTATCGATCTCACGACCTCCTTCCAGACAACTCCCGGGTTGGCTGCTGCTAGATGCCATCATCGTGCAGCTAGATGGACGGATACTACGTTACGCAGCAGCTGTCGCGCCACTTTGTGGCCAGACCTGGCTCTTCTCTTCTCTTTAGCTGGCCCTTGCATGGGGGTTATGTCCTTCACTGGGGCTTGGGTAGTGTAACCACTTATCTAGGCTCATGCGGAGTGCCACTGAACTGACCGGTTACGCAAATGGCAATACTTGCTGCACTTTCAGCTCCATAAATCACATCTCCAAGAAAATTATCTGCCCCAGCCCGTGATGGTGCTGTGACACTTAAGGCCAGTTAGCTTCTCCGGGTGAATGTCGGATTACGGAGAAGAAATCTGAAAAGACGACCTCTGTCTACGTGTTCCCATCCAGTTATCTTTACCAAGGTTAAGTAGTTCCTCTGCTGAAGTGGTGTGTGGTACTTGAATGGCAAAATGTATCATTGTTCTACAAGCCACATGGATATAGTTAGCCAAGCCGAGTGATATTTCATGAGTGGTGGGAAGGAACTCTCCGCATCAACATTGAGGGCTAGCGCCGCTCCCACTAGCTTAATATCTTGGCATTGTTCCCCAGCCGACGTTCTATAACCCCACCCACGCCGTGTGAGAGTCGCTTCTCAGGTTTTCTTCCTTCAATGTCGATGCTCAACCATCCACGCTATAGAGGGAAGTGGTAAACTGCTTTCCCAGAGTATCGAGTTCCCCACACTCGACGGATCAAATCACTTCGAGTGATAATCCATGATACACACCCCAGCCACCCCTCCTTCCTCCCCGAGAAATAAAAAAATAAAGACTTATTTTCTTCTCCAGTTTATACAAAAAAAGAACAAAAGGTACTGCAACGACGCCCGGCTCGTTACTACCCCCACCCCTGGTTCGAACCCAGGACCTTTGGTGTGTCACCAAAGGTCCTGGGATCAAACACGCGGTGTCTAACCCGGCGAGCAGTCTAACCACTAGACCACCCGCCCATGTTGGGTTCTGCGTGGGAAGTGGTACTTAAGCTTGGCGGTGCGCCAAGATGGAGCGTAACCCCTAACCCTTCGCCGATGCTCACCCACATGAGCTACTAAGCTGGGCTTGGGAGACGCGGGGGGTACTAGTATTGATACGCCCGCTGGCTGGGTGGCTTAGAGGGAGAAAGAGGGGCATCTTGCATACCGCAGCTGGCTTTCATGTCGGGACTCTGTTTGTAGGTATTAAATTTAGACAATCAGGTTCCAAGAGCACTCCACCAATATGCACTTTATTCGTCTTCTCCCACGGAGAAGACTGTGCCTCTCCTCCCTAGTTTTGTCATCTGCTGTATCCCCGCTTCTCCGTGGAGAGTTCCCTAATCTGCTTCATCTTTCCTCGCCCTATATACAGAGGGACTTTCCCTTCTACTGGATCTGTTTCGAGAAGGGACCCCCCCCCCCCCCCCCCCGGGGCCCATTTCTACCATCTTCTCTAGATCCATGCGGAGGGATCTGTGCCAACTCTTCCACCTCCATGTCTCCCTCCTCTAATGCAAAAGGAGATTATACTTACCTTACTTCCCCACTCCCTTCCCATCTTCCCCTACCCACATCTTGGGCGCAATCCGAGGAGCCGAGAGGGTATCCTCTCTTCTTCGGGTCTCGTGGTTTCCTTCTGTCCCCTCCTTTGAGGGCCTCGCTTCTCTTACAGCAGTTTATATCTTCGCGTTACGTAAGCTATGTCACGCAAAAAACCACCCCCTAATAGCCGTAAGATGAGGCCAAAGCCAAGAAAGATAATCGAGTGATAATCTATGACCAATCCACCCCATTCAAACCGCAAAGAATACATAAACAAAACACATAACCCTGCAGCACTAAGGGGCGCTAGCTATTTCTATATTAGCTGCGCTAATTATTTAGCGTGTTGTGTCAACTGTTGTGAAAATTGTACTCATGGGTAATTCGGTCTATTTTTACTTTCTGAGGGAAGAAGTGTGGCCTAAAGCAATCCGCACAGCGGCGATCTTGTCCATAATATCATGGTTTCTTTGTCGCTGCGGGGTTTGGAGTTATAGAATAGAAAAGGGTCTAAGACTGTGTAAGTTGTCTGGACTGGTTCATGGACATCGCATCTTGCTTGAAACGATTGAGGCTTCTAGGGTTTACCTTAAGCCCAGTCGTTTCCTTATAAGTCGTGGTATAAAATACCAGACGATCTTATTCCATCAACGACTACTCACCATACAGGTATTTCCCAATCCCCGGCCAAAGCTTAATTCCTCTGATGACGAGTGCCAAGATATATAAACGAGTGATACCCAGTGATCCAAACGAAGTGGGATGAATTTATAAACAACCACAACTCTTGTTCTTATATTAGGCGGGTGTTTGTATATCAAAGAGTTATTCGTATTTCTTGATACTTTTACAGAGGGAGAATCTAATATTGGATGGTCCTGGTGCTAGCTACTAATATTACTAATCCTTGGCAGGTAGTAGATACAGTACTTGCACGGTCTCTGTTATCAAGGCAAGACTGCAAGCCAGCTCCGTTCCTTATACATCCACATAGCCGTCCTTATTTTTCGGTAAACATCAAGCTTCCCCCGCTCAAAACCCTCATGCTCAAAATTGTACTGCGGGCCGAGCCTGTCGGAGATTTTTAGTACGCAGAGCACACTAGTTAATGTAATTCATCGGTTGCTACATGCGCCACTGCATGCTGTGTGTAACCAACCCCCCAGACGATCTGTGTGGGGTAGATACGGTAAAATCATACCCCGCCGTCAGCATTTACCTATTATTATTGCCGTCCTTTATTTCCTACTGGCAGTATATGGGGAGTCACTGTATTGTTGCAGATATTCCAAAAGCATCTTTTACTCGGTGTTAACCTCGGCTGTTGCCACACGGCAGTAAATGATGTAGTAGAACCACTGCATGTTTCCCTAGATATGCCATGGCCCAACTTGCCCAGCTTACTTTTGCCCAGGCACGGCAGTGGAGCAGACTCAGTAAAGTAGTGCAGTGCCTAACATCTAACAAAGAAGCCGGTCGCCTCGGTCCCCCGGAGCCCATCTGTGGAGGAGGTGCTATTTCCGAGGCTGTTGGTCCATTTTACCCCACATTCCTGGCCAGGAATGTACTCCAATTCCCCGAGTATGTTTATAAAGTGGGACCACATCCCATCACTGCCAATGGTGTTCATAGCTTCCTAGATCAAACAATTAGCTTCAAATAACTACACGCCCACCTACAAAAATGACTGGAACTATGAAAGCAGTGGTCTTCAAGGGACCTCATAAGATTGCTGTTGAGGACCGGCCGATCCCAACGATTGTGGATTCAACAGATGTGATTATCAAGGTCTCATACACGGCGCTGTGCGGGAGGTTAGTAGCAATCTCCAGTGCTCTCTATGGCGATGAGGGTAGAACTGAGATGGGACGTATAGCGAGTTGCATGTATTCCGAGGCCACCAACCCAGCGGGACTGGATTCATCATGGTCAGTCACACAACCCGCCCAATTGCTGTCCAGTAACCAGCTAACCAACTCTTTACAGGGCCATGAGTTCACGGGAGAAATTGTAGAGGTTGGGCCAGGTGTGAAGGATTTTAAGAGGGGAGATAAGGTCGTTGCGCCGTTTACAGCTTCATGGTAAGTCCTTCACCTGTACGTATTATGATGAGCTAGCAAGCTGATTGCCTAGCTTGGAATGCTTCTACTGCAAGCAAGGGCAGACCTCCAGATGCGAGAAGTCATTGTTGTTCGGCTGTCCCAAGCTGGATGGCGCGCAGGCGGAATATGTAAGGTTCCCAAAATTGTGTGCTGGGGAGAGAGGGGGAGAGAGAGAGGCTAATTGCAGGTGTTTGTTGAATAGGTGCGATGTCCTATGGCGGATGGAACTCTGTTTCTGGCACCGCAAGAGATCCCAGAGGAGACGTTGGTGTTAATGGCGGATATTGTAAGATTCTCTCGCGCGCCATATTTCAATCCTCGAGACCATCGTAAACTAACTATCATATAGTTCCCAACGTAACCTCCTCCATTCTCCATAGCAAGTATAGCTACCAGCAGTTAGAAACATCAATACTGATATCTTCTTGTAGTGGCTACTTCGCCGCCTCCAATGGCCTCTCTCAACTCACGCCCGCCCAGCGCTCAGAAACCACCGTGGTACTGATTGGCTGCGGCCCCGTCGGCCTCTGCGCGCTCATAGCCGCGGTCTCCATGAAACCCAAACACATCTTCGCCATTGACTCTGTACCGTCTCGTCTGGCGCTTGCAGAGTCCCTCGGCGCCGAGCCGCTCAACTTCATGACCGACGGGGAGGGGATGAAGCGGCGTATCCTGGAGGCCACGGAGGGACGCGGCGCGGATGTAGTAATTGAAGTGGTGGGAATGAGTCCAGCCCTCAGGACCGCGTATGACGTGATGAGGCCATGGGGTGTGATTAGTAGTGTGGGTGTGCATAATGGGGAGGTGAGTAGTATCTGGGAGGGAAAGATATACCGAATGGTGGGGACATTGGGGTGGACAATACTGATCATCTCCGTGAGCTGTGAAACAGATACCGTTTTCGGGGAACGAGGCGTACAATAAGAATGTGAGAATACAGTTTGGAAGGTGTCCCGTTAGGGCGGTATTTCCGGAGGCGTTGGAACTGTTGAAGCAGAAGTCGCATTTACTGGGGTAAGCTTTCTTTTTTATTTCTCTTCTAGACCTTCCTCCGGGCGGTTAGGTGTTGAAACGGCTCGTGTTCTAGGTTCATGGCGGATAAGATCATGCCGCTCTCGCAGGCGGAGGAGGGGTATGAGATTTTCGACAAGATGCAGGTCCAGAAGGTCATATTCAAGCTTTAAGTTGGCTTGGAGTAATTTAAAACCCGTCGAAATTCTAGTTCGTCTCGTATTCTCTACCAAGAAAGGGAAACGTTGGAACGGAATAAATTTGAATAAGATTTTTTTTATTTTGTTGGAAAAAAATATCAATCTTTGTATCTCGATCCCTGTGATGCTGGAAATTGGGTAGGGATGAGAGTTTTGATATGGTTGGAATTACAATCGGTTTTTGCTGTATTTTTCATGTGATTGACGTTTTGTGGAAGTGGCCGCAGCAGCTGTGGTAATTTCAGTGTCTTTGTAATGAGGTGTTGATGGGACACCATACCTTCGATGTTTCATTTCTATGTATCATCCAACTTGCATTATTTCCCAAGCCCATGGTACTAGGGGAGTATGAAACAAAACGAGTAAAAAAAGATGACGACTTATCGGATCGCGGGAAAAAATTACCAAACCAAACAATTGGCGATCCTAGTTTGTTAATTTTCCCGTTTCGAAGTATTAACGGTGATATATGTGGTTCGTCTTATACCCCGTGCCCCACGATGTCTCGCGCGCTCCGGCAAGAAAAAGCAAAGATAGCCCGCTTAACAGGGTTAGGTTTTTGGTGCCACCTCACTCTGCGAGGGAGAGATGGATGATTACGCAGCAAGGAGATGGTTATGGAGATGGTTGAGGGATATTAGATCGATATTGAGGATTTTTTTAGGCATGATGCTGATGATCATCAACTGTAGGTACAGCTATGTGTGCCTACATGTACCCTTGGCCTGAGCTTACTCTAGCTCTCCCTAAGGGATAGAGTATTGTGGCCTTACCCTTGCAGTAGCTGGGACGCTAGGACGGGAGACTCGTGGAACGTACCACGAGCACGAGTGCAGACTGAGCAGATTTTCTCTGTGGCCAACTGGCTCAGATCTTGAGACCATAGTGTCCTTTTCAAAACTATACAAAATAGCCTTGGGTTTCCTTCTCTCCATTGATCTTCACGATTGGTCTTTGCTCCTCCACCTGCTGCTCCATCCACCTGCTCTAGCTAGGCACAGCTAGCAAGATCATGTAGCTTCACGGCCAGGTACGGTTGTATGTAGCAGCAGCTACTGGTGTCGTTCCACAACTCTAAATTATCCTCAAGTGATGATCATTCCCTATCAAGGAGGTCATTCCTGAGAGCCTTTTGCTCAAGCCTCTTCTTCTCTTCCTCGATCCTCTTCTACTAATCAATCAATCAATGTCTTTGCTTTAAGACTCGGCGGCGAAACCTTCAACACCTATCTCGAAAGCCTTATTACTCGGAATACAAGTGTATATATAATATGAAACAGATATACTTGTTGCCGAGGCTGAATATATTTGTGAGGTACATAGCTTTGTACCCACCAAGGTAATCCATCAAGGTACTCAAATCTGCTCAATTCAACGCGCGCAAACCTCATATATACATACAACATACGCAACCAGCCGGATGGCTGTATTGAAAGCACCAGCAGTATAAAAATGCTGATTCTCTTCTCATAAAGTCAAATATCTCGGATTCTCATTGAAAATTTCCACCAATTGCAATACGACGTTATCCCTAGCTTCTTTGTAGCTTCAGCGAATAGTAACAAGCCGAATATCAAACCCCGTTGCCGAAAATAAACAGTCATGTGTCAAGGCCAGTCGTCAAGGACATCTTTCGGCGGTGCAGGTAAGTTCGGTGGCTTCTTCTTATACATAAGACAGATAGAGCTTCGTCTTGTCAAGTAAACCGGATTAAATCTTTACTAATAAACTCCCGTTTTTTGTGTAATGTAGTCGCCCGAATCCATCCAACCGGCACAAACTCTTTCAGCTGTCTCCTCCAGTTTAAGAACGGGGCCGGCCACTCGGACCCTACTATTCTGACCTACGAATTTGAGCGCCCGCAGCTGCCCTGCTGCAAGCTTAGGATCCAGTAAGTTTTGTTGCCCTCATTCTCCGCCGCCTCCGTCAGCCGGTTACATCCGGCAGGGCAGACCTTAAACACTTCGCACGGATGCATATGTAAACACAACTAGTACATGATATGAAATATATTTTTTTTGCCCGATCTAACTCTTTTGAACAGTCAGTTCGGCGACCTGTCTTCAAGCGTTGCATCAGCAGGCCGAATACTTCACAGTGTAGACCTCATGTTCCCGTCCGCGGAGAAAACCGCCGGATCGGTGATACTTGACCGACGGCTTGATCTTGGGGTTGGCGAGGAAGGCATTATTGGAAGAGTAGTTTCTATGACTACTACTGCTACTGCTGCTGCTGCTGCTGCTGCTCGTGTTCGTGCTCGTGCTTCTGATCTATATGACGAGGGATCTGAATCTGATGGGGATCCTGAGGGCTTGAGTGTTCTGCTTGGGGAAGGCGTTATTGGGTGGAACTGATCGATCAACTGATATGATTGACGTACTGACCTTTTTTTCTTGTTATTTTTTGTAATCTTTTCCTCACTCTCTATCTTGCGCTTGCGTTTGGGGAGCAAAGAAGGTCCAGGGGGGACGTACGTACGTATTCTTTGCTCTACATACATATGCGCAAGATACTTCGTACTTTCCCAACCTCGTTGTTTCTTTATCTGCACTGTTATTTATTTATTTTTCCTCTGTCTGGGCTGCTGGCTAGGGAAATGCATGTACGTACGGTCATGCGTGGCTGGTACACTGTGCTGAATAGCATGTGTGGGACTGGTCCATGGGTTTGTGCACGTGGAGAGATCCTTCTCGTTTTGTTCTGGCGTTCATAGATTTTGGTTTATATTTATAACTCGTTTGAATGGATAGCATTTCGTTATCGGGTGCTGGGCCTGTCAGAAGAGAGGAATCGTTCCAGACCAATAGAATATATGAAAAACAAAAAAACTGTACTCCACACAAGACTGGTACATTAACCGGCCACCTATTCCCACTCCATTTAGCCTCCGTACCAGGGGGGGAAATGGCCGGGGGTGAGAAACCGAAAGATAGACGATCATCAACCTGACCTCAGCCTTTTGCCCCTGCTCTCTTTCTCGTGCTTCTCCACTACTTCGACGACTTCACTTCCACTCTCGAAGAGCTACATAGCTAGCTTACATGTTCCACTTCTTCACTCCCGGATCCTCTCAGGGCCCCCTGCCTTATTCCATGGACAATCTATCCAGACCCCGGGAATCCTGCAATATGTTTATCTAAAGCCTAGCAGCTAGCTGGGGGCCCCCCCGCAGCGATTGTGGGGTTCCCTTTCAGAACATATGCCAATAGCTCATCCCACATGGCTAACTATTCGGTTTCATCCGAAGCGAAGCCTGTGTATGTACTTCACCTAACTCACCCCCCATCACTTTCCGGGGTGTGCTGTGTTGTGGGTTGTGTTGTGGTTTTTCGATTTTTTTAAACTCTGCGAGTCATAATCCATGATCAGCTTCTCTACCTAGTTAGCCTAGCTAGCCCTATTCTTATTCCTCTTCCCTCTTGACGCCCATGATCCCGGTACCGTATGTATGTACGCTGCAACGGTCTTTTTGTAATATAGCCCCCCCCCCCCCCTCCGATCACGAGCTGCCTGCTACTGCTTTGAAACAGAGGGTGGGTGCAGGTAAGTACCTTCTTGCACTTGTGAAGGGCAGACACGGGATTTCCATTGGGAATCGAACTGATGTAGTTATGATTATATAGATACTTACTTAGGTACGCATTACATGTACCTCGACCCTACCTCTGTCTATATCATGTAATGACTGGCTGGCAGGGCCCGCTGACATGATATGACACTTGGACAGGGTAGATAGCTGTTAGTTGTTCCGCCGTTAACTGCGTACCTGTCTGTATCTGTATCAGTATCTGTACCTGTATCTATCTGTACCTGTGCCAGTTCCTCCTCAACCCCTCACACCCTTGTTTCTTTGGGGTATGTAGGCCGATCTGAATAATGGCTCCTCCTGTAGTACCCCGTGCGGTCACGAGGTGGCCTGTTGTGAAGAGCCCGGCGGGTACTGTGTTTAATCCTCTTTTTTTATTTTTTATTTTCTTTTCATTTCAAAAGCTAGGTCAGGTCAGGCCATGCTGCCAAACCAGGCCAAGGCCAAGGCAAAAAAAAAGAAGTCGTGATCAGAAACAGAAACATTCCGTACCGTACCGGCCTAAGGAGAATCAAGTCAAGGCAAAGCACTACCCCCAGAAAAAAACAAAGGAAGTGGTACTGGCAAGAAAAGAACAGGAAAAGCAAAAACCAAGACAAAGCACAGGCCGGGACGGAGCTCGAGGGAGAGTGATCAAGGGAGGGAGGGAAGAGAAGGGAGGATCAGGTCATGTGGATGATAAACCGGCGGGGGGTGGGCGGCGTGTATGTACATCATACTACTAGGCTTTGTATGTAGTTGAGGAGATATTAATCACCTACCTTCTCAATCATGAACAAGCATATGTGCGCGATTCACATTGCGTCGAGGAGGAGGACCGAGTGTAGGTTACTTTCTTCAGACTTTTTTTCCGCCCCCATTTATCATGCGGAATGAGATCAAGTGAGAAGTAGCGGAATATTGCAAGAGGAGAAAAGAAAAGCACAATATTCCCACTTTATTGCTGTGAGAGGGGGGAAGAGAGAGAGGGGAAAAAGGGGATAACTAGCCTAGCTTACTAGCTATCTGACTGGATGGCCATATTGGTTAGATGGGATCACCAGTTGATTATACAAGAAACCCCCAATACCGTCACTGACTGGCCAGAAAGGAAATTAAAGCTTAGAAAAGAGAAAGGCGGGGCCCGGAAAATCTGTAAGCCAGGGGCGAAAGAGGTAGACCGAGATAGAGGATATCAGGAAACAGGAAATCGTAGTAAAGAAGAAAAAGACGTAAAACCCAGTTCCTCAGATCCTATCCATCCCATCCCATTCCATCGACCCATCCAACCCCCGCTCCACCCCCGGCCCCCCCTTCGATTCTGGATCTTCGTGAGGTCCATGATCCAAGTAAATTCTTTCTAACCCTCGATCTCCCCCCTCTCGAGCTTGTTATCTCCGAGCTAAAAGCAAAAGTGGAAAAAATGCCCCCCCCCCCCCCCGAGCTCTCTGTATATACTATGTGTACCCAATATGTTCGTTCACGAGAATTCACACTTGACGTGAAAAAAAATCCAAATACGGAAAACCCTAAAGGAACGGTTTCTTAATACTTGAAACTGTACTAGCCATGGCTTGATCGCGAAAAAAGAGTAAATAGCTAAATATGTGCAAAAACGAGTGCGAGAAGCGAAGAAAAAACGAAAAAGGAAATGACCACATCCTGATATATATCCCAATGAAAGAGAAAAATCCACGCTATGCCACCCTTCCCACCGGCCTCCCGTAATCCAGATTGCTTGCCTACCCTAAGTATTGCCTTCCCTAGAAAGAATGAATGAATGAAATGAAGAAAATTGACAAATTGATTGACAAATAAAAAGAATGGTAGATGTACCAAAATATGAAGAAAACGAAACAACTGATCAAGCCCAGGCGTAAAAGGATCAGAAACTAAATAAACTACAAAGGAGAAAAAGAGAAATACAAAAGATACAAAGATAGTCAAGCCCCGATTCTCCAGTAATCGACTCTTGCCCCATATTCTCTTTTCTTTTTTTTTGTTTTCCGGCATTGCTGCGACCGTCTTAATAAAACCTCAAAATTGCAAACCACCCGCGATGATAATAAAACAAGAAAAAGCATTAATCAAACCAAAAAAAGTCAACGCTACGCTTGCTAATAAATCAAAAAAGGATAAACGAATAAACAAGACATTGTACAAAGGGAAAAAGGGAAAAAAAAAAACGGGGAAAAAAAGACAACGCTTGACCGCCGACCGCCACCCAACCGATCGCTAAAATGAGAATAAACGTAAGGAAAAAAGCCCAAACAAAAAAATCAGATTTGACCGCCCAATGATAGTACAAGTGTTCAGTGTTGTGTATGTGTGTATCGTCGCTCGGTATTGTGGTTCCGACCATTTCCATCCCTGCGATCGCTCGCAAAACTCCTCCCTGTATAACCGATTAAACAATTTGAAAGAAAAGTGCTGATAAGGCCCTGTTCATGTCTCATCGCTGTTGTCGTATCTCTTCCAGTCTCGTGAATGCCAGCCCCAACCATCCTTAGAAACTTCTCTCCTCCTCCGCCGGTGATCTTGCCTCAGACTTCCCTAGCGCGCCCGGCAGTCACATGGTTGTTGCATATTCTTGGTACCTATCCCAACCGAAACCGCCAAAACCACTCCCAGTGCTGCACTGTTGGGCCAACAAGCTCGGAAGCGGAAGCGGAAGAGGTGTCAAGGGCAGTTGGTGCGAAGGCGGCTGAGAATATTGCTGCTGCTGTTGCTGATGCTGATGCTGATGCTGATGCTGCTGTTGCTGGTGCTGTTGCTGTTGCTGCTGTTGTTGCTGCTGCTGGTGCGTTGTGGGTGAGCTCATGCTGGACATATCCGACATACCCATATTCCCCCAGATCGACGGATACATTGTTGAGTTTGACGTGGGTGGACTGTCTGTATCGGGGCTGGATGGTAGTATCTTCCAAGCCTCAACTGGAGGAGGCGGTGGTAGTGATGGCGGCGGAGCGGGCGGGGTTGGCGACCACCAATTTGTAGTCCCAGGCGAGCTAGGAAGCAGGGGAGGAGGGGCACGAACAACATCCACGATTCTGGGTGGAGGCGGCAACAAGGGTAGAAAAAACCCCATCACGAGGTTCCTGACATCATCGCTCCGCCCGCAGAGAAGTTCACCAGCGCCGTCATCTTCCATGCCTTCCAGCGCAACTGCATCCGTTCGATACACGAATTTGTTGACAGTTTGGACAAATTCCTCATGCAGTCTCTTCATTTGCGTATCCTTGTCAGTCCAGTGCCAGGTTGTCGCCGCCTGATCCACAAGAAATACATCCTGGTGATATTGAATAAGATCCTTTATCGTGTCCTGTGAAAGCTTAAAGGCGATTTCGTTTGAGAGGACCAGGTCGATATGGACAACATATGCCTTGATATGGATGAGTTGGTACCGGTAGATAGCGTCCAGCAAGGGGTGTTCATGTCTTTCGATTTCTGCTTCGGGCGCACGTGCTACCATGAGACTGCAGAGATTCCAGATCGCTGAGATTTGTGAGAGAGTTTCAATTAAACATTTCATGTGCTGAGGAACGCTGTTGAGGGGACGCTTGATACGATTAATCCGTTTCAGTGTGGCGGTCAACCATGGATCAACTGTTGTATTCAGTACAACGGTGGGAGGCGAGCGGGGGGCAAAGGGCGCTGCTGTATCTGGCAGTAGAAGAGCAGGCATTCTCGACATATAGATAAATGAACGACTAGTGGTAGTTGTTGTAGTCCGTAATCAATATGTTAGAGTAGTATAATGACTCCAGGCCAGTTGGAGAATTAAGTTGTTGAGAAATGTTGTGGTGTGAGGTGATGTGAGAGAGTAAGATGTTGGTTAGGGTTGAGGAGGAAGGATAGGATGAGTATAGTATTGAGGAAGAAGAGGAGTAGAAGAAGGGTGAGTAGAAGAGGGGGCGGAGGTGAGTAAGTATAAGTGGAAGGAGGGGAAGGCTTAGTGGAAAAAGCCGAGACTAAAAAAGAAAGACAATATAGCAAAAACAACAAAGAGTGTAGACAGAATGTCGGGACTATGACGAAGTTGAAGAGGAGGAGGAGTAGTAGTAGTAGAAGGAGGAGGAGGGGGAGATCGAGGCAGAGAGAGTGAAAGGAGCCGAGAAGGGAAGGGGAGTGCGATCCGGGAGGGTGGGAAATCCTACTTTATAAACTTCAAGTTATCGAGACTCACGGACCACGCAGAGGCTGGGGGGATCCCGGGGCAGGTGCTGTTGATAGTGATTTGGTGGAGGGGTGGATAAAACTTTGAGTGGTGGACAGCATGGATGAGCATTTATTCCAAAGTGTGTGGTGGTGGTGGGAGCGATGCGTCCCGCGGTAGCTCCAGCTTGGGTACTACTCACTTTCGAGATTTTTCTGACTCTACTCTCGAGTCCGGATACCTCATCGTCTCTGTCTCTCCCCTCTTCTTAGCCCTCTTCTCTCTAGAGTATGTATCTCTCTCTGCCTCTCTCTACCTTTTGATAGTGCAAGTAAGGTCAACCCTTGCTCCGTGCCCACTCGCTCCCAGAAAAACCCCACTTTGATTACCTCCCCCATCGGTTTTTTGGGCCATACAATATGAACCCCTCACTATCCTGCAACTCCTCTTTGTGCAAGTGTGGGCGGGCCCCGTTATTACCCCCCAATTCTCGGACTTGTCCATAAAGACAATAGTAAGTCAAAAATGGGATAATAAGAATTAAAATCCATAAAAAGATTAATAGATACGGTAACCCGTAATAGTATGATAAAAAACAAGTTCTTTTCTTCCCTTTCCATGGCCAGTAACCACACCACAAAAAATGTGATGATTTAAATTTAAAAATAAAGATTAAATGCATAAAAAATGAGCTCCGAGATGATCTCTCACCACTCTGAGACCATGGAAACCCCGGGGTAATGGCACTGGATCATCCCTTCATGTCGCATGTGAAGAAATATCCGTCCATTGGTGGACAATATTACTCGCCCATGGTTCCTTCCCCAAGAGAGAGGGAGGGCCGCGAAAGCCGTTAAGCTGCCGGGGGCGGCGGCGAGCTAGGCGGACATCCTTCCTCTCACTGTATATTTCCGTATCCTTCCCCGAAGAGGATCTCAAATGCTATATTGCCTCATCGTTCGCCGCCTGTCATTGGGAACCGATTTTTTCTTTTTCATTTGGCGGAGGGTACCTTGCAGGTCCAGATTAGTCCCATATCTGGTTCCTGCGTATTGGGAGCTGCGAAAGCATGCAATTTTCAGCGCTGCTAAAACTCGAAAAGGCGGAGGAAAGTACTCAGGAGGGGGAGGGTGGTGGGCAAGATATCCGGAGGAATGGCATTGGTGGTACTTACGCGTATTACGGGGAGAGGTGATAGAACCCTTGTGATGAGCAAGACATCTGCAGGAGGACATTTGCATTGTCCTGCTTCATGCTTGAGGAACGACTCAATAATTCGGCCATGCTTTGACCGAACGCCCATCAATTTCGAGGTCTGGCCTGTAGATTTGAGTGTCGTCTCCTTCCCACTGGAATATGGTGGCTGGATACGTCTAGCTAGGCTGAAATCATATTATCGTTATTCTTTTTTCTGGGAACTGCATCCTTGTACTCTGGCCATTCGGGGCCTTAGAGCGTTTTTTTCAGCTGAGTAGTGTAGCTCGGGCGTGGCAATTCTGGAATGGGATTCGCTGGAGTAATTTTTTTGTTTGATGTGCCACTTGTTTGGAGGAGGTGAAGATTTGTAGATGATTGGGTTACATTTCCTAAGTCGATCACCCCTGCCAAACATTGTCGCCTAAACGGGATAGCGCGGTTGTGCATCTAAGAGCGCGAGGACTGATTAATTCGGCTTGCGAATAATCCGGACTGGCCATACCTATCACACAGCATAGTGGAGCACCGCAATCAACAGAAGCAGCAGGAGCAGCAGCAACCAGGAGCAGCAGCATTAGCATCAGTCAGGAGGAGTAGCCATCATCAGCAGTGGACCGATAATCTTAGACTCTACTACAGCCACAGCCACAGCCTCGGTCCGTGACTCGATGCGAGCAGTAGTAAAATGGAAATGATTCCTCTAGCTCTAAGGTACGGAACATGAAGATTTGGACAACCGTCGTCATAGTGGCGAATGGAATGGCTTACCCAGCTGGAGGATGTCGCAAGAAGAAAAGAAAAAATAAAAACAGCCTTGTCTGGATGACTGGGACTGGTTGACGGCGTGTCAGCTCAGAACTCGTTCCTGCGCAGCTCAACGCCGCATACGTCCAATTGAAACGTACATAAGGAACCCTCTCCCCGCAGCCGTACCTCGCGTGACATACCGAGGAAGCAAAGCATCTGTAGGCAAAATTAAGTAGAAGTGCAGATGTAACAGAAGTGTGACTGTTGTGATGTGACTGTGGCAGGTTAGGTACGAAAGGCTACGATATACATCATCACCATCATCATCATGTCGTCTTACACATTTCAAGGTTATTTTCTCATAGCATAATATTAATGCTGCTGCTGTTGTTGCTGCTGCCGCCGCCGTCGAGGCCAGGGGCGGGGGTCGAGAGTGAGGGGAACATAAAAAAACAAAAAACCCTACTCTAGAACCAAGGAACGAGATGAATTCGGCAGCAATGTCGAAACCGGGAGAGTGACAGAGAGGGAAAGAGAAGGAACACGAGGGCGGAGCCTAACAAGAGGCCTCGGGGGCAAATGCAATGCATGAAGGGTCTCCTGCAGGCCGACCGATCCATTGCAGAACCGAGGAAGCGGTGTTAACGACCTGGGGCGGTAGCCCGAAGAATTCCCAATTCCAAGTTTCTCAACCGCCGTCACCTTGTGATCCGTGCTCTGTTATTTAGTGTCGTTTCATGTTGTGATAAAACGGTCATGCTCGTCGGGGGTGTCCTCGGACTGCGAAGTGCAAATTATCCATGTCCATGACAGCTGAAATCCATGGACCTCAGTAAACACTCGACTGACATTATGCAATATATAGCTAGGCATGTCCCAGTAAGTACATGTAGGCAGACAGAGGGGAAAGCGGTGGTAGGTTGTTAGTAGACAGGTAATATTGTAATATTGCCTGTAGTTATGGTACATGGTATGTATCTATCATGCACATCTACTCACTCGGACTATCATACTCTACTCCTGACTGCTTCTAAAAATCCTCAAACATCAAGACTTGGATTGCGCAAGCGCATGGTTAGGTTGAAAATAGCTAGCTGTAACAGAAAAAGTGATCGTCCCGGCTCTTGATCACCTCCACCGCGTACACCTCCGCCTCCAGCACCTCCGCCTCAACTTCCTTCTTCTCTACAGTACGATCATGGCCGTTCTGTGCTGAGTATCCTACTAGTTAGAGGCGACAGAAAGAAAAATTGTAAACTCTACTGAGATAAGTGTAAGCGAGGCCGTTCCGTGAATTCAATAAATAAAAATAAAATAAAAAAGCACGGACGAGTTCCTGACCCATCGTACTTTCCTTCACAAAACCTTATCGACACCTCCAGGCCTATCGATATATCGCAATGTACACTGCAAATTAAAGTCGTTGCTGTAACTACAGGACTCTCCTGGCCAGGTCATCGTCTTGCATCCATCCGTCTCTTCACATCACATCACATCAACTGCTCCACCCACACATCCATCGCTTCATTCAACCACCCACTAGGACCTGCAGAATGACAAAGACTTTGATATCAATCAATTCTGTTATTACTCCAATCGATATTCGCGTTACAGCTAACCGCTGCACTTCCCTCCTGCAAGTCTGCGCCTCATCGAGATACGATCAATTACGATATGTGGTAATCTTGCCCAATCTTTCCACCCTGTTGCCCCGCATTCGAATCCGTATCTACCTGTCTTGTCGCCTTCCATTTAATTCTCCGAGCTTTTCCCCTGACGGAAAGTCTTGTTTTCAGCTGTTCAGGGATGTTCAGGAACTTCAGGTACAGTGCCAGACTCTTGGCCAGCTCGCCCTGCCGCCTCTCCTTTCCTGCGCCACCGCATGTATTGTTGAGATGCATTAGCCACGTTGACAATATGCACACACTAGCCTCCATAGCCACGAATTGTACACGTTCTGGTTTTGCTTCGTCCGATGTTTTTCCCAACATACATCGTGCAAGTCCAAGCTGGACGGGCAGGGAAGAAAAAAAGAAACCCCCACAGGGCACGCAAACACACACACACCACCACACGTAGGTAGTAGAATATTCTACTTCTACCGAAAACACGCACAAACGAAACCTAGCCTATTATTAGTCTCACCGCCAGGGAGAAGGCAAAAAAAAAACACATAAACGTTGTCGATCTCATTTTTTTTTTCACTGAGGGTTCAAGAGCGTACAACAATTCAAAATGTCTACCCTACCTTACTTAGCTGGCCAGCTCTCAACGGTCGCCCGTATCAGAATCCAACAACAAAACACACACGTATCGCTGTGTGAACGCAACAATTATATGAGCTATCTAATCTAACGAGCTGGGTATCAGTCGGTTAATTTAATATGGTTGATAATAAATCTACCAGATGGACCAAGGATCTAGGATCCAGATCCAAGTGTTACCGGCAGACCACCACCATGTTAGATAGCATGAGAGATCGAATGCCTTGGAATCGAACCGCATCTTAATCTTGCACAACCACATTCATTCCATCCATCCACCCTCCCTTATGAGGTGGTGGTGGTATGTTTTGACTAGCGCCGTGGGGAAAAATCCATAAACAAATATTGACAGGCCTCTTTTCCAAGATATTGGTAATACAAGCTGGAGGCTAGCACCTAAAACCTGAGTGGACTACATACATACATGTATATACGAGAACAGCCGACTTCACATTTCTTCAGAATTTCGCCCCCGGCGACCTTGACAGATTACAACTGATATAATTTATTTGTCACCTTGGACATTGTCGTCGTCGTTGTCGCGGGATTATGTTCCCGAATCTGGCATTTGACTTTCAAATAATTCGTTAATGGAGACCAAGCCCAAGTAGGCAATTTCACACTACCGTTTCTCAAGCTGGGTAGCAAAGGAACAAAAGGCCGGAGAACAAGTATCAATTTTTTAGAGAAATTTGAAAGGCGTATATGCTGGCACTAGAATGTTTTACGAATTTAGCTACATATTAACTGACATGTCCGGTGTGTTTCGGTTGATCGATTCGCACCAGGTATGGTTGCAGCAGTAGCCTTTACAATAATATTGGAGCATCACCGCAGTTAACCGGCCGACTCCGGCGCCGATATCTAGTGATAATAAATGCGCATTCCTGCGTACGCAAAACCCACTTATCGAATTGAAAACCCATCTACATTTCTGTAGTGGTTATTTGTGGAATACCTATGTACCTAAAAGAACCCGTAAGGCAAGTATTCCACTCAAGTTGAATAATATTCCCTCATTCTCAAACACACCTACATGAACGTTAACCGGCGGCCGTGCGGTGCGCAATGCGGGTGCGCATTATAGTCCAGACCATGGATGAACGTGTATTTTGCTGGGCACGGGGGAAAAAATCCCATTGTTTATTGAAACTGATTGTTCCTTACCCACATCTGCAGCACGTTGTCTGCAGTAAGTTCTCTGCAGACGGCCCATTTAGGTTGGGGAGGGGAAGAAAAATGGGGGGAGGGGAAGAAAAAACAATCAGGCATCAAAACCCGTCAATCATGACCGGTGAAAAAGAAAAGTAGGCAGAAAATGATCCACGCGCAGACCGACGGACGGATCGGCACATCCCGCAAAGGCCTGTTTTGATACCTAACCGTGGTGGACCCTTAGATCATCGTCATATGGACTTGGAATGTTTATCGAAGGATAACCGGTCTGTGCGTTACATATCAACAGATCGACCGATGGGTTTAGGTTAGGTGTTTTGCAGGCAAGCCTACGCCATATTATTACGTGCTTGGCCGTCTCCCCCGTCGTGACATGGGAGAAAGAAGCGTCTCAGATAATCTGGGCGCGTAACTTTTCTTTTTGTTTACCCTTTACTTTTTCCGCTCGCACTTTATGCTAGGTTTAGGTGGTCTATGTGGTCTATGTGGAGAATGTCTCTCGTTAGAGCCCTCCTTGCTAGTTAGATATTACTTGTTTTTTTATTATTACTTCTTTGCTTTCCGTTTCTCTAGTTCTTTTTTTTTCTTTTTTCTTTTTTTCCTTTTCTTATTCTCCATCTTTCACTTCACGAACACGAAACGAAGTGCAGTTGCAGGCAGTACTTGTTGGAGGTGCCAGATCGGGAGCTTTGTGCAGCATCCGTGGATGTGTGTGTGGGCCATGTGGTTTCCTGTTAGAAGAGCTTAATGTACGAGATCAGCTGGCGAGGAGGACGACGAACAAACCCGTCCGTTCAAGGCCTGCACTTCGTGTTGTTGTTGTTGTTGCTCCTCGAGTTGCCTGCTGTTGCTGGTTGCCGTTGCTGTTCGTAGAAAAGTAGGCGTGGTGGTGAGGGGTAAAATAGGCGTGGATGCTTGCTTAAGCTTGCTTTACTGCCTGCTTTTCCTTATCGCGGAGCTAGCACAATGTCGATTCTGGATCTCGTCTTGTTCGCGATAAGGGAAAACACACGGTGCACACGGACACACAAGCGACGGAACTAGATGCGCAAGCGAATGATGCCCGCAGCCTGGGTCCCTGCACGCTCTCTACTTTTTTTTCTCATTTCTTTTTTGTGTTCTTGTGATGGTGATACATGGACTCGAGATACCCGTATGGTGTTTGGTGTTTGGGCGGTTTGGGGGGGGGGGGGGTGGGGGAGGAGGAGAGGGATGTAGGCGGTTTAGTTAGGCATGTACAGACGCTGCCCTCCAGGCCCCCAGCTTTAGGGTAGCTAGTCAGGCAGGTAGGCAGGTTTGTAGGCAGAGTAGAAACGAGAAGAGCAGAGATAGAGCACTCTAGGTAGGTAACTGTTCTGTAGAGTAGAATAATTAATGCATGAAGGAGGAAGTTACTTTGTGCACATATTCATGTAGGGTAGGTAATACAAGGCACAAGTCACTCTGGTATCCGACCCCCAATAGGCATCCAGAAACCGACGCTGACCTGGAAAGACACCTACAGAAACGAAACATTTTGCTCTCTACCCCGGTAATTGCAAGGGTTTTTGGGGAAGAAAGGGAAAAGCAGCAAGGCAACGATTGACGGACGACGTCCCACAACCTCGAATGGTTATATCCGGGAAACGAGATACATATTCCCCCGCAGCGCAGCGGCGCTTACTCGTTTAGATGAACATTTCCCACCACCACCTTCGATGCATCGCAGAGAAACACACCGCCGAAAAATAAACAGAGTAGAGGTAGGTACACACACGAAACGAAGGCATTGTAGTACTGCACAGTTACGTATCGTGGTGGTGTAATATTCTTAGAAGAAATAACCCCTCCCGTCCACCCCTCCTCTCTCACCGCTTCTTCATTCTCTTCTGTAAGTACAGCCGACCGCTTTCCATATCTAGTTGTCATAACCCTTTCGCAATCAAACAAACCCACCTGAAAACACCAGAATACACCCCCGATATCATGGAACACACATATAAAATACAAAATTGAAATTATGATCTCGTTCTTCGGATCTAGAGTCCTCTCCGCTTCCATCGTACTATCATCGCGATTGTGGATGTTGATCCTCCTCCTACTTGCCCTCTCGGATAACGTACGGACCACCGACTGGTTTCTATTACAGGAAACTCAAGAGGTACATATTGCAATCCCACATAATATTATTCGTACAACCCACGCCCCATTTTTTTTTCTTTGCTTCTGCCAGGCCCCCGATATTTTTTGTTTTTATTGGAATGTCCTTCAAGTCCCCTTCCAAGATTAACCGCTGACGAATAATCATGGAAAAAAGACCCCTGAGCTGCCGGTAGCGAATTGGTGTGTCAGGTGACTTGAAACACTCTGGAAAGGCTGCATTAGCTCCATCTACAAATACCACGGAGCTGCAGTTCCGTTGGTTCGTGCAACTCCTGCACGCACGCTCTCCTGCAGCCATCTGCATCTTCCCATAGTGTTTTAAGTCACCTGACACACCAGTTTCTAGCATCATGGAGGAATTAAAAAAGGCATATTGAGAATTGAGGCAATTTCCTCTTTTATCATCGTACACTATCGTGATATGCGGTTGCACTGGGGGGAGCGCCCGGTCCAGCATGTCCACCACTTGGAGATATCATATGCGGCACCCCACCCCCGTTTCCTCCATCTCCCCCGCCCTCATTTCCACCGCCTGCCCCGTCCCCTCCTCCTCCTCCGTCGCCGCTCAACATGTTCATATTCAGCATCCCCGCGCCTCGAGCCTCGTAGCCTGGAGGGCACGAATTAAAGGGTAGGAACCATGCGCTACTGGCTTGATCGTGGAACTCCGTAAGGTTGATGTGCGGGTCAAGTCCCGTCCATATACCAGTACCAAGCGGGCCCGTAGCCGCTGCCATTGTCGACGGATCAGATCCCCCTGGATATAAATCATAAAAATAATCTTGTTGCTGGGAAGCGTGCATCCCTGTCGAGATTGGACTGACGGTGGCTGCGGATGTCCGGGATATTACGGGGTAATTCGAAAACGAGACCGGCGATGAAATATTTGGAACCAGCGATGACATTGGGGGGTGATGCTGGGCAGATTGCTCAAAATTAACCGAAGAGGTATCCGATGGACGACGAAGCATGGTGGGATTTAGCAGCTGCGGGTCCAACTTCAAATCAATGTTTCCGTGTCCAGAAACCATAGGCGGTGTAGGTACCATGACCGGAGGAGATACGCCCATAACCGGAGACTGCTGCGTTGTCGGAGACTGATATACTACGGGTGATTGACTATGATGCACTGACTGCGGGGAGGCGCTATGCATCGATGACGACCCATGCGCCGGCGAGGCGCGAGCATGAGATTGTGTTTGACGTTTGGAAAGGGGTGGCACTGATGGCGTGCTCCTTTGGCTTCTTGATCCTAATTTTGCAAAATATTCTTCTGCAGTTTGAAGATTGGATCTTTGACTAAAAATTGCATCTCCAGAAGAATTATCGACTTCTTGGCTGGTCCTCTCTTTCTTTGTATTCCTTGCGTAATCGCTAGCTGATACCCCTTGTGGGTATTTCTGAAACCAATCCCCATATTGTAACACCTGTCCAGTTTCCCGATGATTTGATAACCCTGATAATGAAGAGCCTTTGGCAGCAGCCTCTGAGAACTTGCGATATGTTCGCTTTAGGTTGTCTGTTATATAGCAAAACAGTCCCCAGTATTGTCTGATATTCAATAGGAATCTAAGGCAGACTTCCATATATCTTTTTGCCTCGATCTGTGCATTATTTTCTGTAGTAAACATTCTCCCTAGGTGAATCAAGGCAGAACTGAATGCGCAGTACCCCATGAAAGGCGCAGCAACCACAGCGCCACGCTCCTCAACATCCTCCAAAATCTTGGCGATTTGCGTAGCCGCGTCAACTGTTATATCGCTCGCGGATTTTACGAATTCTCTTGGCATGCCCGGAACCTCATCAGGCGCTGGTGGTATAGCGGATTTATGAAGAAAAAGCCTGATCTGATGATAGGAAAGATGCACAAATATGAACTGACAGAAGATTCGCTCAGTTATATGGGCTTCTACGTTTTCAGTTGTGTAATGTAGTCGCTCGGGCAAAGTATTTGCAAAGCGGTCTGCCTCGGCGGCAAGACCAAGAAATTCGGAATTGGAATCCCAAACACGACGTGCATCACGTTCTATTCCACCCTAACAGCCAATGTCAATGAATGTTTATTTATTTTTGCCAAGAGTGCATATTTCCATAAGCACCCCCGAATATCACAGTGGGGAAGGGGAAAGATCCATAATATTTCTGTAAAAACGAAAATTCGTCCTATGCGCGTGATATGTTATGTATTTCAAGCGACATAGTATCAAATCGCATGACTTCACCTATGGGGATCAATTCCAACGCGAACGTTGATGATATCGTGGCAAAGATACGCAAAAATCGAGGAAACATGATGCTTACCTGGTTGAAATATTTTGCAACTCTGCCATACAACGATACTACCCTGACAATATATGCTCCAACACCCATATTATCCACTATATTATTTTCCCCGAGCGCGAGATCCTTCAAATTACGAACGTTAACACTACCATCCAATCGTTCCGTAATTGTTGGTATATCAAGCTCGAGATTTCTGTCGTGAGATGGAAGTTGGATTTCGATTTCTGATTCTGATATTAAGCAAGGCCTTTCCGTGCCGGATGAAGTAAATCTGTCCATCACGTAACAAGCCCACATACAGCGTCTTCGAATTTCTCTGTCGACAAAAGACATATTGTTCCCCGGTGCCCCTTCCTCGGAGAGACAATCTGATCTCGACGTTCCTGAAGCCTTCCCAATGGGATCATTATTAATTTCCCTATGTAATTGTAAAGCGTGTGCCATTCGTGTTGCCATTCCTCCAAATGCCCAACTCCTACCTCCTTGGCATGTGCCAAATTCATGAAGACAGAGCAGTGTACAAACAGTAACATTAGTAATATTTGGATTATCGAAGTTTTTTAGTACCAATTGCCGCGCCTCTGTAGCAAAACTCTCACCAGCCAAAAATGGCGGATCATGACGTACAGCGGGGTGCTTGGAGAATCTTGCCGAAATAGCGCATATTGCTAAAACTAATACCGGCGGCGCAGTTCCATTCCTAGATAATGTTTAGCACTGATAAGACTCGGAGGGAGATGGACAAGATATAGGATTACCTTAATCGTCTCATGAATGATGGTTTATGTAGTAAGTAATAAGGCTGCCCATATATAAATTCGAAAAATGTCTCTACCAGATGTTCTTGGATCTCTTTAGACGGCAGTGCTTGAGAGCCATCATCTGAGTCTGCTTGCTTTATGGTTGATAGATCTCCCAGACCTCCAGCACGGTGTTTGATCGGGTTTTCAGAACGGGCCCACGTCTCTAATTCGTTTCCAAACGCGGCACCGGCTGTTCTTTTCTTCCCCATTGGCCCTGACCTGGCGCTGTTGGTAGATAGGCTAGGCCTAACAACGGATCTCCCGGTCACAGAAAGTACACTACTAACCTCTTCTTTTGGTACGTTCTTTATCAGTCTCTCTTCCATTCTTTTCAGCCGACGATCAAGCATTGCCATGTAATCGGTACGGGGAGCAGCTTTCCGTGTTGATTGTTTGTAGACACATGGTGTGCGTGAACGAAGACAATGTCGGCATGTAGGTTTTTCGCCAGAGCAGCGTATCTTCTTGCGGCGACAAGCAATACATGCAAGCGGAAGTCTTTTCCTCTCTTTTCCAGCCTGAAATTCTTATCAGTTTACCATTTTAAAGAGTCCAAGTAGCAGGAGCAAAAATTAGATAATGAGGCTGGAATTGTATACGATGGACAAACCTTTGTCTTAGTCTCACTCCATGCAGTAGTTTGCCCTTGACTTTCATCCATATTAATTTTCAGTATACCATGTGTCCCCTCTGGTCCTCCTGAAAGTGCATCCTCACTCCCCTCTCGACCAGCACCTTCGCCCATCTCATCATCCACATTCATATGTCCACTGTCCAATGTATAACCCTGACCGACCATATTAACCGGTAGCATATCATCGGAAATAGCCGTCATATCTACTGCATGTCCCTGGAGACCATCACCACCAATCCCGTCAATACCCCCGTGCCTAGCCTCCATCTTTCCGGCTGAACTTAAAGTCGACGTCCGTCCTTGACCCCCTCTAGGTTTTATATCCCCAACCACAACAGTATCAAACATATACTTGTCCTCCTCTCTTTGTTGCTGGGCAGTGTCTTTCTGTCGCTGTTCCGTGAACTGATAATCATCGCGTGCTGGATTTCCTAATGTCGTGCTCTGTCCATAAGCAGTCTCCCCTGATATATTGACGCCACCAAAGTCCATTCCGTTCCCTATTATCGATATCCCGTTCCTTTCTGTTTCCAGGGCGCAACCATCCGTCGACAGCCTTGCAGGGTAACACTGGTAATATCTCTCGCTACGTAGAAGTATCGACGGTCAGAATACGGGATAAGTGATTCTTATGGTGACTGCCACTTCCAGTCACAAATCGCGTGTTGCCGTTTTTTTAGGGGGTTCTAGGGAGATAGTGTCGTTGGTGTTGCTGTAGTAAGAAATCCTTCGGAGGGGTTGTGCGTGATATCTGCGGGAGCTGTATATACTTATGCAAAGTCAGCTCTAATATTTTCCTGAGCCCAGACCCAGTTCCCAAGAACGACCTTAGTCTTCTCCACGTTTCAAGGAAGAGCTTTACTGTCTTCGGAATTTCCCAGCTACGACCCTGTCTCGGAGATGGCTAGCTTAATAGCTTGGTCGCAGATCTTTCCACAACTGAGGGGGCCGCAAGGTCACCCTTTCACTTACTCTCCGCTTATTCGTTCACAGGTCTGACCCACTTTTTTTTGGGCTGCTATCAAAGCAGACTAAGGCAAGAGAAACAGAAAAAGGACGTTGAAAAAACAATTAATAACGAGAATAAGGAGTTGGTCCCACACACTAGACTGGCAAACAAGACTTGGAATTACTGCAGGTTGCAGTGATAAGCCTTACGACTGGCCAACTGTTGGCTCCGATGGGATGAGCAAAAAAGGAATAACACCAAAATTTGACGTACTACCAAACGTTGCTCACGACTTTTTGGGAACAGTCACAAACGATCCCCCCTTCCGTCCTCGATCCCTCGTCTATGCGCTATGGTCAAACGCCGTTCGCTAGAAGTCGTGGCGTATGTATGTAAAAGCCTGCACGTTCTAGAAAGTAATTTTTCTGTGGGTACAATAAAGGCTCACTTATTTGATATACCGGTTTTGCGAGTTCGTTCCAGTATATCGGGCCGGGAGTTCCGGGACTTGGGGTTGTTCCGGAGGGGAGGTATAACTGACCGGTATTACGTTTTATCTGAAAACCTCGGAGCCGGTGAGCGATTATCGGATCGGAGGAAGAGCAGCACCTGGGTACCTCTGCGGGAGCTCCGTGATTTTTGCGACTTTTTCTGCTTTATTCTTTCTTTCTTTTTTCTTCTTCTACTTGAGGCTTTATTTTCGTGGCTTAATTTCCCGGTTGAAAAGATGCAGGTGTCACTAATTAGGCAGCTGTGGAGGACCTTGAGGTTTGACAAATGACCGAAATGATGCAGTAGCACTGGGGACTGCGAAGTAAAAGGTCTCGCCTCAAGTTTCTTTCTCGCAGATCTTGCAAGAGTGGGATAAAGCTTTCGATTGAATCGAGTTTCTCTGCCCGTGATTGATAGTGAATTGTGACGAAAACGATGTCATGACAGAGTTTCCGGTTCCTGCTTCCTGTATGTACGTTTCCTGTGCATACACAATTGGGACGGGGGAGGGGAGCAATTGTGCAACGTCGTTATGAATCTTCTTGCTCGGCTAGTCCACCGGATTTTGCACTCAGGTTGGAGGGGTTTAAACTGCCGGAGTTTCCCCAACCTCACCACTTCTGCCGTTCCCCTAAACTTTTTGGTGTGATGGCCCGAATCTCCTTCCACCCTACCGAGCGGAGATGCGCCTCTTCTGCAGCTGCTTGACTCGATTGTGCTCTGGGTCCACCTCACCTCACCTCCTGAATCAGTAGTCGGTCGTATTCCGTAATCTTGGGCCGGGCTTGTGCAAGGTGTATGAGGTTGTTGAGATTGGGGGGAGCAATTCTGAGCTGAGAGAGATGAAAAGGATCAGGAATTGCACAGCTCAGACGCTTTTCTGAGGATATAATAGAGGATTTTGTGCTCAATTGATGCCACAGTTGACAAATGCACGATATCAAGGAACCTTCATTTGGCGACTGCAGACGTAATGGGGGCCCAGGATAATGGGATTGTTCGCGGTTAAGGCTTAAGGAGACGAATGCGCTAGCCCAACGCGCTAGGGAAGCACGAAAGCAGCACGAAAGGGACCCCAGGAAGGTGCTGTTTCGTCCGAGGGTCCTCCTCTCTTGCCCACTGCCCCCACGGCACGCAGAAACCTGGTCTAGAGCCCACCAGCACACCACCGCTGTAATTCGTGACAGGTTGCGTAACGTTCCCTCCCTCCACACAAACCCGTAGAGTACTTACCTATACCCTGACCTGTCCCGAGGCCCGAGATGCACGCCGGAAAACGTTTCAGTTCGAGGGACTCAAAAACTCCCTAGGGCCCCGTACCCACATGCTGCGTTCAATCAACTCCTGGCCGTTCAGGGATATGGCGATCCTTCGTTACTCGCTAAACCCCGTAAGGCAACATATCAGCTGCCAGGGTTGGCCTACAATTTATCTGAAAAAGCAATGCCTCCTCGGTTACTATTCGTAGGCTCCCGAAGAGAAGGAAGTCCATACTCGGGCAGGCAAAAAGTACCGGACAATGCAAGTTTTGTCTCTGGGCTTTTTTTGCAGTAGTTCACGTCTAGCATGCGCGCCCATTGGTGAACCAAAAACCTGCATTGTCCGGTACTTTTTACCTGCCCCGAGTATACATACGTATGCATAACTTGCAGATTACAAATTGTCGGTATTGATCGAAAAACAACGGCCTAGTCTAGGCTTGTTCGTTCCAATCAACAAGTCGCTCATGGGGAAGAGAAACTTGAGGCTACACAATCCACCAGTTTCCAATGTCCCCCTGTAACTACCATGCAACCTTACTTTGGAACACCCTGCGTTGAAAATGGCCTGTTCCAGTGCGAAACTGGTGGAGTACTCTAGGTATTTAGACTATGCACATGTACTTTACAGCCCTGGCACCTGTCTGAGTGACGTTCCTGTTACTTTTCTGATTCGTTTTGCTGATGAATAGAGACGAAAGCAGGTGAACCACGTCACGTCTGATCCATACGCTCCCCCCTTTCATGGCCTGTGTAGAATCTGTTAATGGTTTATTTGCGCGAGATTAGTTACACTTACGAGGCCGGAAAACTATCTCCGGCATTGAATAATAATTAAACCTATACGCACTACGCACGTTTTAGGGCGTAGTCCTACTTTCTACTATATACATACGCATAGAGAATGCCGTCGTACCACAATATCATTATCGCCATATGCACACTGTACTGTAGCTGATCCCTGGGCATGGGAACCTACAAAACTAGTTGAATTTATTAGGGCATTTTAGTCCATCCCTGCCGTACAAACTGCAGCTATACTTCAACCACGTAGGATCTGTGCTGTAGTTTCTGCGGGTACAAAAACTCCCTAATCAACTCCTTTACGGCGCAGTGCCTTGAGCTCGCATACACGCAATCTGTACAAAATTCACGGAGGTTCCTACCAGCCAATTGGAAAGCATGTTACAAAATTTGAAGTGGATAGTTATGAGATGAGGAATCGAGTGACGAATCATGAAACGGATTTAGGGGCCACATCAGATATCACAATTTTCAACATAGCTTAAAAGGGTGAATCTTAAGCCAAGTCTGCCCTACCGCTAAATCTCCTTTACACTTGCATGATAAGCTTCTCCGTGCCTACTCTAACACCAACATCCTTGACAAACATGGAAGCGATATTAACGACACGTCGTAGATGCGATGCCGAGGGGCATGCAGTGGAACCTACTGAAGCAGAGGCATCCCGAATGTTCTACGCTCTCATATAGAGGCACGCAGGGACAATTAATATACCTATGTGTATTATAGACTCTGGCTCTACGCCTCTGATATATACTTACATATACCATACCTAGTTCCCTTGGCAATCTGTCTCATCACCATTGTGGGGATTCCTTGCGTGTGGCGCTCTCAAAAGATATATTGGCGGTCAGCTGAGTTTTGCTGCATAAAGACGTGCAGTATTTAATATCAGACAAGCAGATGATCGGCGTGAACCCGGGAGAAGTATATAATGTTAAGGGGCTGACAAAAGACGAGGTCATGATACGATCGATGGTAATAGCCAAAGAAGGCAAAGAGCCCGACGTACAGGTCTAATTTACCGGATCTCTACCCCCCTAACACCAAATTGGCTTCACCGGATTTTCTCAGGGTGGCGCCTGGAGTTAATATTCCGAATCATACAGAATCACTCGAATGCTCTTAGCCTATGAAATCTTGATCCCTAGTCCCGTAGGTTTAGATGACCGTTATGAATCATCGCATATCTGAGAGTGGCCATCCCGGTACAAACACTTGTGTTACCACATGCATGTAGCCTCAAATAGTTGGTTCCTCACTTCTCCACTAGGTTCAGTAAAACCATAACGGCGGGGCCCGAGATGTCAGTAGAATCCAAAAGTACCATCAGCAACGATACAAAAACAGGGATGCGACAGAACCAGTCACCTGAATTAATACGGGTGCAAGAATTACGAGACGATCAAAGTGGAGCCAAAAACACGGGTACATATAGTTCCTGTACTTTCTTGGTGGAATACGGAGGCCCGTGCCGTCTCGGAGCTTATTTTTGAATATAAAGGCTGATTTCAAACACTTTCTAATCCTTATATTTAACCCTCCCCTTTCTTGCGCTTATTGTCCGGCACTCTTTAACTCTTTTCGGTTCTTGTGAGGAGTACTTTGAATCATGGGTGATCACTCGATGATTCATTTAGCCTGTTTTTGGGAGCGAATTGGATATCTCCTTCAACGCGAGGGGTTTTTTTCGTGTCCCAATCTAGGCAGGGGAAAATCTGTCGCAAAAAAGCGCCTGAATTGGCGAATGATAAAACGAGGAGTTTGTAATGGGCTTGATTTGTGGTATTGAGTTAGCGCAGTAGATGGATTGTGAGGATAAAATGAGGGAAGATAAATTTACTGGACGGTGATGAAAGATAATCTAAAGCTTACCTCACCAGGATGACTTTTAGTGTGAGTCAAAGGTGGCCATGGGGGGAGGGGGCTAGATTTTAGGGTTTAGGTAAATTGATCAACCAACGTTGTCTATTTGCGATTTTTTTTTCTCTTCCGTTCCATAGAGCAGATCGGTACTAGACACGATATTGAGCATAGAGAATACCGTGCTCGGGTTCTATAACCATATACTAACCAGACCTCAAAGGTTGCTAATCAACCGGGTTTTCTCTCTTCCTTTTAATAGCTTTTGGGGCTGTTAAAACTGGCCCACCGGGTTATGGCAACACTCCACAGATAAGGAAAGGGAAAGATATGTATACAATGAGGAATCTTGATATGGTATCCATGTTTTAGGCTCCGGAAACGAATGTATCGTCACTTGCCCCCAAGGCCCCATCCTACAACCATGCACGAAACGCATTGAATATATCTACACTAGAAATAAATCTTCTTTCTTATATTTTACACACCTACCTATTTCTCTAACCTTCTTTCGGCTTCTCGCCCTCTACCTTTACTTCCTCTTTGGTCTCCTTTACCTCCTTTACCTCCTCTATACTAGCTGCCTTAGCTTCAGTTACCTCCTCAGCCTTGATCTCAGTTACTTGAGGAGGAACACTCTCCTCTTTCACTTCTTTCACTTCTTCTTTTGTCTCCTTTGCCTCTGTGATGATCTTCTCAACGACTGGCGAGTCCGCTGAGGCAGGGGCTTGAGTAGTCTTCACTGGCGTCCCAGTCTCGGACATTGTAGATACGGGGACATCAACCGGTGCCACGACCGAAGGCTCAGCTTTCACGGGCTCTGGTGTTGGTTCAGGGTGGAGGGCACTGCTTCTACGGGCGCTTCGGCCTTGGTCTCGAGGATGGGTATAAGTGCCTCCTCTTCTACCTTGGGCGTAGGATCGATGGGTGTGGGTTCCATAGCTTGTACCTCGGCGGTTGCAGTGGGTGTGATTGGTGCAGCTTGTGCCTCTACTGGTTCCTCTGCGGTGGCCTTGAGGATAGATTCAACGGGTTCTACCTCTGGGACTGAGGCGGCTACGGGGGCTTCCTCGACTGGAGGTGCTGCCTTGACTTCTGGGGCGGGTTCGGGAGTCTCTGTAGGAATTGGCTTTGCAGCAACTACAGCTGCCTCCACCTTGAGAGTCTCTTCCACCTTGAACGGCGCCTCCTCCTCCCTTAGAGTTTCCAAAACCTGCGGAACTTCTTCGACTTCGATCTTTGATATCCCCTCTGCCTGTGCTAAGCCATCAACCTTTGGTGATACCTCCGCAAACTCCTCTGCCTTCTCTAAAGATTCCTCAACTGCCTGGGCCTGAACCTGCTCCTCCTCAGTCATGATCTTGTCCATCACAACTTGCTCTACTACCTTCTCTTCCTGTGGCGCTTCCTTCTTTGTTTCCTCTACGTGCTTATGGTATCTTGGATCTTCTAGAATGCTCTTTGCTGCTTTCTGGATATGCTCTTCCTCGGTAAACTCTTTCAAAGCATCCTCATGTGATAGAGATTTATACTCTGGGCTTTCAAGCAACTGCCTTGCCTTCTCAGCGGTCTCGAAACTCTTACGGGATCCGAAGTGTGACCACTTGGGGCGGGCAACGTCCTTGATGGTCTCAAGGGACACACCCATACGTTTACCCACACCTACACCATATGGTCAATCCCTAACACCATAAGCTCTCTTCCGGGGAGGAAACGTACCGAGCTCATCAAAACCGTACATATTTGCCTTCATACCCACACCATAGTACTGGTGCTTCCTGAGGAACGCCAGCCACAACTCCACTGTCTCGGGGTGGCCATCCTTGATCTGAATCAACCTCTTATATGTAACTCTCTCGTAGTTCTCCTGACTTTTCTTGTGTACGAAATGTCCTCTTGGAACAGTCCACCTTTCCGTCTTTCTCGGCAATGGCACGGGGCCCGAGGCGGGGAGATGGCAGTAGTAGGCAGCGCGGAGGGCAAAGTCGCACATAAACTCTAGATTTCGCACGGAGTAGGAACGTAGCTGGAGGTCGCAGACAGGGAGCCCCATTGTGGGTTGCCGGCGGAATGGTTCATAGTAGATAGCTTGGAGGGAGAGCGGGAGGCGGGTGCCTGCGGGGACTTCGGGGGAGGCGGCACTACATAGATTTAAAGTAAAGCGTCAGTGTATGCTGGGTGCGAGACTCTGGGCGGAAAGTGGTGGGTGGAGGGTACTCTTCGGCGGGAGCAGCTGCCTGTCGCAGAGGAGCTATGGTAGAAAATTTCGTTCGGGATAGTACCGGAACCTAGGCGCAAAGAACGTCAATTAAGTTATTCCAGACGAGATTTTGCTTGTAAAATTATACCCTGTGGAGGACCTGAAGCCGTGCCAGGCCAGACCGCGAGCGACAAGCAAACATGGTTTTCCTATGTCAATTGAAGCGCCTCAATGGAGGGGTCGAATTCTGATATCCCAAATCCGATATTGTCGTGTGGGGGAATCACCGACGAGGCGGGTAACGGTGGTCCTCGGTAACCCGGCCGCCCTGATACATTGAACAGATTGCAGAGGCACGTCTTGTCTACTACAACTTCACTTCGAAACCACTGCCCAACATCGTGGACGTGGCTCCCGGTCACCCTAATACTTAAATACAGCTACACCTAATAATAATCGGTTTACACGTACATTCTCGCTATAATTCACCATGGAGTCCTCACGCGGCCCACCTCGTGTTAAAAACAAGGGAGCTAGCGCCCAGCAAATCAGGTAAGTGAGCCCACAGCTCCCCCGAATGTCCATAGAGCTAATAGTGCCCCTATAGTGCTGAGCAAATCCTTCGCGAAGCCTTCGAGCGGCAAGAACAGGGCCTGCAAGCCCCCTCCCAACGCTTCGATGATTTGGAAGAGCTGCACGAGTTCCAAGGCCGCAAGCGCAAGGAATTCGAGGACTATGTCCGCCGGAACCGTATTAACATGAACAACTGGATGCGATATGCACAATGGGAACTCGATCAGAAGGAATATGCCCGTGCGCGTTCTATCTTCGAGCGTGCTCTCGACGTCGACAGCAAGTCCGTCGTGCTATGGCTGCGATACATTGAGGCTGAGATGAAGACCCGTAATATCAATCACGCCCGCAACTTGCTAGATCGTGCAGTCAGTATTCTGCCTAGGGTCGATAAGCTGTGGTATAAATATGTGTACATGGAGGAGACGCTTGGCAACATCCCCGGTACTAGGCAGGTGTTTGAACGTTGGATGAGCTGGGAGCCGGAGGAGGCAGCCTGGAGCGCGTATATCAAGCTTGAGAAGCGGTATGGGGAGTGGGCAAGGGCAAGGGCGGTGTTTCAGAGGTTTACGGTGGTGCACCCGGATGCGAAGAACTGGATCAAGTGGGCACGGTTCGAAGAGGAGTACGGCAATGAGGATAATGTGCGGGAGGTATACAATCTGGCTGTGGAGACTCTTGGGGATGAGTTTATGGACGAGAGGCTGTTTATTGCGTTCGCCAAGTACGAGGCAAAGCTGAAGGAGTTTGAGCGCGCGAGAGTCATATACAAGTACGCCCTTGACCGCCTGCCACGGAGCAAGTCTCAGCAGCTGCACAAGAGCTACACGACCTTTGAGAAACAGTTTGGTGAGCGTGAGGGCGTCGAGAACGTCATTCTCTCAAAACGCCGAGTGCAGTACGAGGAGCAGATTAAAGAGAACCCCAAGAATTACGATGTCTGGTTCGACTATGCCCGCTTGGAGGAGACTCTTGGCGACAAAGATCGCGTCCGTGACGTCTACGAGCGTGCCATCGCAAACATCCCCCCCACAAAAGAGAAGCGCCACTGGCGGCGGTACATCTACCTCTGGATCTTCTACGCGTTATGGGAAGAAATGGAGGGCCAAGACATTGACCGCACCCGCCAGATTTACGACGAATGCCTCAAATTAATACCCCACAAGCAGTTCACCTTTGCAAAGATTTGGCTCCTCAAAGCACACTTTGAGGTTCGACACGGCAACCTCACCGCCGCACGCAAGATGCTCGGCAACGCGCTCGGGAAATGTCCAAAAGACAAACTCTTCAAGGGCTACATCGCCCTCGAAACCCGTCTTCATGAGTTTTCGCGCTGCCGCACCCTGTATGAGAACCACATCAAGTTCTCGCCAACGAACGCACAGACATGGATCCGCTACGCGGAGCTGGAGATGGCGCTCGAGGACGACGACCGAGTACGTGCCATCTTTGAACTGGCGGTTGAGGAGGAGAGCCTGGACATGCCAGAACTGCTGTGGAAGAGCTACATTGACTTTGAGGAGGAGAGCGGGGAGTTTGGTCGGACGCGGGATCTGTTTGAGAGGCTGCTGCAGAAGACGGACCATGTCAAGGTCTGGATCTCGTATGCACACTTTGAGATCAATGCAGATGAGGGCGGCGAGGAAGATGCCGAGGGCAACGATGTGGTCAGTGATGAGGCAAAGGCCCGTGCCAGGGGTGTGTTTGAGCGGGCCTACAAGAGTCTCAAAGCAAAGGATCTCAAAGAAGAGGTATTTCCCCCATTCCATACTAAACTCAACACTGGTACCTATACTAACTTAAACCAACAGCGGGTTGTCCTTCTCAACGCCTGGAAATCGTTCGAAAACACACACGGCACACCGGAAGACATCAAGAAGGTGGAGGAACAGATGCCGCGCAAGGTCAAGAAGAGGAGAAAGCTCGACGACGACAGCTACGAGGAGTACATGGACTACATCTTCCCGGCCGACGAGCAAGCCAATGCGGGGATGCTCAAGCTGCTGCAAGAGGCGCATCGGTGGAAGCAGGCGCAGGCGGCGTTGGAGAAGGAGAAGTCGTAGTGGTAACGCTGTTTGGGTGGGTAAAAAGATATGTATTTTTATTTTATTGCGGATTTTCTTTTTTGGGTTTGCGGGAGCCATGTAATGAACGGAGCGGACTAGAGTGGAGCGGTTTCTTTCTAGAATACCATGTGCATAGCTAGCTGGCGGGTCCCCGGAAAAGGGCCCTGATGATTATTATGGGATACGAATGTAGAGGTTTTGTCCTGTATTCTTTCTGATCGACTGCTGTGTTTTCCGCCCATATTTGTAACATAGTGGGCTCAGTCCAGCTTGAATAGACCTTTGAGTTAGCCTGGAGCCAGCCATCTACTGCCCGTCCTTACTAGGATTTAATCATGGAAAATCACTCGATGACCAAGCCTTGGCGGTTAGTGATCTCTGGTGACGCACTCGCTTGCAATACTGGGGAAAAGGTACTGGCTATTATCGTTGTCGAGGTGCTTTTTTTATTTTTTTGCATGTAATGCTAGTTCAGCATGCCTTCTTCACTCGTACATGTAGTAGGATGAGTGGGCGAGTTGACTTGTGGCTTTGGGCGTCTTTATTCTTGCCACTACGGTCGAGGTGCTGCTAATGTGAGATGCGGCTCTTTTAGCTGCGTCTCGGGGTATATGTATGGATTTATACCAGTTTTCCCTTCGCTGTTTGTAGGCCTGTTGACTGTCTGGTTTTGAGAGGAAGGAGGGAGGGAGGATAGGGGGCTGTATACTTTACCAACGTATGAGAGCCCTGTTTACCTGATTTGCGACACACAGGTAGCCAGTGACGGGGTAGCCATACCGTGCATTTTATCATCCTCGGGGATTCCTCATGCCCAACGTGAGGAAGAACTAAAGATTTTGTTTCTTCGCAGTGACCCCGGAAGCCAAAAAAAAAAAATCACGGATCAACACTATCATGGATCGATGTGTTCCCCCATAATACAATGCGGTGCATCAAGACGTTGCATGTGGGGAAGATTTGGGGGAAGAAGAAGAGGGCGAAGGTTGTGGTGGTGTTAGTGGTCTGGCAGGACCTGGGATTATCTTGGCACCTTGGCGCGCCGAGACATATGAGTGATGGGCTGTGATCGAGGCTTGCCGCTCTCATGACGGACCGTGGCCAAGGGAGACGAATAGATATAGCGAAGGGACACATGGTGGGGTTAGGAAGGCGGGGTGGATAACATATCTAGCTAGCTAGCTTTCTCTGCAATCATAAACCTCGGCCAGCCAACCGGACGAAACGAATTTTCGAAAGAGATGATTCAAAGAAGACCTGTACGTGACAACTAATTGCAATAATAGCGGGGGCAAGATTAAACCATGTGCGTCTGCCAGATACGTGCAGCAAGTGCCTGAAGAAGAGAGGCTTGAGTCAAAGCTCTTAAGCCGTTCAAATATAGAGTGTAACTAAAGAGAGGAAGAAATAGTAGTCCCCCAGCTAGAGCTTAAGGGAATTAAAGAAACGCCACTTGTCAATTGACGTACGGGGTTAAGATGTCTCAGTACTTCACCTTGAGATTTGGTCTTGTAGTTCGACTAATGCTCGCCCTCCGGCCACCGATATTTGCTCCTTACACTTCGAAATCGATAGCTATTATAGTACTAGAGATTAGGAACCAAGGTAGCTAGCTACTTTAAGATCTGATCCTCAAGGTCAGAATGTCAAGCACAAAGAAAGAACGCAGAATAAAATAAATAAAAATACAGCTGTAACATCACACGCCCCATGTTATTCCCAACACGCTAATATAAACTGCCTAACACGATAACGATAACAATCATTAGCGCTAGCGTCCAGCCGCGTCCAATTGAAGGGGGGCTTTCCGCGACCGCCCTCCCACGCGCCACCACCGCCATTCCTCTCCTTAACCTCCATGTACTTTACTTTCTTTTTATTCCCTTCCCTCCTGTCAAGTCGCGTGTGCTCTACATCCCAATCAACAACAATCATCACTGAGTCTACAGCCCCACAGGAACACACCAAAAGAGCGCTCTGCCCACATTCACAAAGTGAGGCAATTAATAGGAACGATCGAGAATGAGAGGTCTCTGCCCTCTTAGAGGAGCGCTGAATGATGTGTTACCCTAAATTTATTGGACGACACTTGGTGCACTCTACACACCACACCCTGCGCCCACCAAGGCCTAGAAAGCTTGTGTTTCCAGCCAGTGTCAAGCAGTGTGCAATGCTTATACCGCTAGTACTACCACTAACTATACAAAGTAAGCAAAAAAAAAAAAAAAAAAAAAAAAAAAACACCATATACCAAAAACGGCCATATCTAAATCGATCTCTTACTTCGAGAGTGCGCTACATATATCACTCGCACATATACACCTGCACCGCGAGAGCACCGCCCCGGGCGTGGTCCAACATCACGAGGAATATGCAGATATACATCTGCCAACAAACACCCCAAAGGGGCAGATGATCGAGCGAACATGATAGCTAGGACGTACGGACGACAACCGGGGGAGGGAGGCTGGTGTACAGCTCTTGGTTACATCACGAGGGCCTAGCTACTAGCAAAGACGCAAAGTCTCCGGGTCCCGTGAGTCTCAACCTTAGTTCTCTCATCATGGTGCTAGAAAATAGCCTACACGTGACCCGAGGACTTTGCGTCTTTGCTAGTAGCTAGATTCAAGGGAGCTTGGATTTTTCAGGCAGTGCCAAACTTGATACGCTGGCATGGGAATTACAAGGCGATACCACCACCCCTACTACTACTACTGCTGCTGCTGCTGCTACAAGTAAAAAGTAAAAAAGCTCTATATCAATAATAGCCAGTACTAGAGACATCCTTCGAGAGCTACCATATATCACCCGCACCTCTACACCTGCACCTGCACCCACCGCGAGAACACCGCCCCGCGCAGCGTTTCTCATAGAAAGTGCCGATAGTCGGATTTCTTTTTTTTTTTTTTTTGGTCTATCTACATGTATCTTGGGATATGCAAACGCCCACAAGTGCTGAAACAACACATGATCGGGCTTATTTCATGCCTCTGGCTTAATTTGGGCCGCCGGTGCAAGCGGCCTACGGAGCGCGTCCCTACATTGCCAAGACATTTGACCACCGAGTGATGGTTCGTGACTGGGTCTCGAGGTTCTGTACACTACGATAAGATGGCAGAAGATACACACCACAGGGGGCGGCCGTGATATCAGCTGGGTAGTTCGGGAGCACGCTGTGGCGTGAAGCCATGTCTATATTGATCACGCTACGCACACATGTGTCCATGCACAGCCGTCGGTGTAATGTATGAGCAAAAGCAGCCAGCACATCCATTCCGTAATTACCATCTCTACATCTCATTCACGAGGTAGCAACAAGCATCCACAGAACGCAAATTATTCAAACTCCTCTATACCCCCCTCCCGCACAAACCACCCCAACCACCCCTCTACGCCCCCACCTTCGCCGAATACTTCCCCGCCGCCCTCTCAAACAACTCCTCCTTCTCCCTCAACTCCCTCAAAAACGGATGCGCCTCCGCGCCCTCCGTCGCCTCCAGCCTCGCCCTCCACTCCTCCCCCTCCTTCCCCGCGATCGTCGCCAGCACCAGCATATTCGCCAGCGCGTCCGCATCATCGCCCTTCTTGTCGAGCGCCTGCTGCAGCGCAACCTCCGCCTCCTCCAGCCGGCCCAGGTGCAGCTCCGCCACGGCCTGTCCCACGAGCGTGCGGCACGACGACGACGACGGCGCCTGCGCAAGCTCCTCGAAGACGTAGTAGGCCGACTGGTACTTTTCACCACCAATGCGGAGGCCGAGGTAGGACTCGGCGAGGTTGACGAGGAGGCTGTCTTGCGCCCAGCGTTTGGCCATCTGCACTTCTTTGAGCGCCAGGTCGGTGCGGTTCTGCGAGAGACGGATCTGGACGGTGAGGGCGACACTATCACATGCATCAGCAGTTGCCCCCGCGGCGCCCTCCCCTTCTGAGAATGTGCTGGTGGTGTGGGGGGTTGGTGGTGGGACTCACGCTTCTAGACTGTTGACATGGTTACTCAGCAGCGCCAGCGCCTCGTCGCTCCGTCCCTCGCTCTGGAGGACAATGGCGCCAATGACCTGGACCGTAGCGTTGTCAGCTGCGGACTCGACAAGGCCCTCGATGGCCGCGGTGGCAGACTCCTTGGCGCCGGTGGTGTACTCGGCAAAAGCCTTGACGGCAGCGAGGTCGGGCGTGTCGGTCTCGGACTCGAGCTCGGAGATGACGGAGGGGGCATCACCGAGTGCGATGCGGGAGCGGAGGGCGTAGATGCGGGCGGGGAGGGCGTTGGAGGCGGAGAGGGTGCTGGTGTCGCTGTCGAGCACGGCTTGGTACTGGCCGCTGAAGAAGGCGGTGTGCATGGCGAGGAGCTCTGGTGGGGGTTAGTGGGGTGTTTGTGGGTGGAGGGGAGGGAGGGGATGGGGATGGGGATGGGGGGTGGGACCTCCTTCGCTTGAGAATGGATCCATGGTGTTGATTGTGTGTATTTAGGTGAGCTGTGAGGGCGGAGGTTAATTGAATTGGTGTTTCTGAGATTGCTGATGTTTGCGATGGAGTTGAAGAGTGCTTGTGTTTGGAGGGGAAGAGTGTGTGAGAGAGATCGAGGTTGAGGTTTAGTGGGACAGCTGTCTCTCTCTCTCACGGTTGCTATGTGCGTGTGTCGCTGCTGGCTGGCAACCAACAGAGCCGCCGACCGTGGAGAAAGAAGAAGAGAAGCGAAGAGAGAAGAGAAGAGTGTGAATTGCACTGCTGAACACACAGCTGCAGAGAGTCGGTCCATCTGCCTCAGAGGACTTTGATCTTTGATCTGTATTGTATGTATACTTGAATACCTGATTGAATGAATACTTGTGAAAAATATATACCGAGCGTGCTCACCGTGCCATCACTCGGCTTGGGCCAATTCTTTCTTTCTTTCTTTCTCTCCACCTCTCTCCGCACACATTGATTGATCGATAGTTGATCTATCTCTATCTCTTGCCCTCTTGCTCTCTTGACCCAGCGTCTCTCTCTCTGTGCTGCTGCTCCTCCCTGGGCATAGTCATCAGTACATACACGACCAAGCAACAACCAAATCAGCCCTGCCTGCGTTCAACGAGCTGCTGCACCTCCGCTGCTGCTGAACGTCAACCGACGACGGCACCACCGCGAACGCCCACAGACGCGTTCCAGAACAGCGGCACTCGCTCTCATCATCATCATCAATATATAAAGGCAAACGGCACTGACCTCGGGCATACATCTTCATCAGAGGACCAGTCAGTCAGTGCAGTTGATATATTTCAAGCATCAGAGAGTCTGTCTAACTATCTGCCAGCCCCCCTCGTCCCCTCCCCCCACGGCCCCCCCTTCGTTCATCGCCCACCCTCCGCCAGCTCCTACTTCAACGTCCGTGACAAACGGCACATCACCACCACCACCACCATAACCACCCACCGCTACATCAATCAATCAATCAACACACATACCCCCCCCCCCCTCCCTCAGATCCAGCATCTAGATCTCCCCATCCCCATCCCCATCCCTCGCCAGCAGTCAGTGGATGTCCGCACCACCCACCACTGACAGGAAACGCAAACCCTCCACCACAATCCCCGACATCACCATTACCCCCGCGTCCAAGCACCCCAAACTCACTCCCCCCACCACAACCACCACCCCAACCACCACCGCAATGTCCGCCCCAACCCCCATGGTCCTCGCCGCCCAACGCCGCGCCCAGCTCCAGCAGCTCCTCAACGCCCAGGTCAACATGACCGAGGAGACAAAGCAGAAATACATGACGGGCCTCGACAACCTGCGCATGGTCGTCGAAGCCAAGAACGGTACCGTCGAAGCCCAGGCCGCCCAAGCCCGCTACGACACCATTGTCAACAAGCTCCGCAACGCCGTCCGCGCGCAGCAACAAGCCGCGCAGCAGCAGGCCGCCGCCCAACAGCAAGCCGCTCAGCAGCAGCAGCAGCAGCAGCAGCAACAGCAACAGCAACAGCAGCAGCAGCAAAACAACTTCCAGCCCCAACAGCAGGGCGGCATCGCCAACGCCGCCGCCGCCGCCGGCCAAACCACGCTCGCCAACATCATGGGCCCCAACGCGCGCTCGACGTGGATCCCCCCGCCTGGTGTCAAACCCACCGAGGCGGACCACTGGCGCACCGAGATCCAGACAAAGCTCACGCAGGTGGCGCACAAGATGAATGCGGCGCGCAACCAGATCCAGCTGTTCACGCAACAGTCGCAGCAGCCCGGTGTGACGCCCGAGCAGCAGCGCGAGTTCCAGGTGCGCATCGCTGAGAACACGCAGCACTTTCAGCACTTTAAGGACGTCATCAACAAGTTTGGGCAGCAGCAGAAGATGCTGGCCGAGCAGAAGCTGCACCAGCAGCAGCAGCAGCAGCAGGCGCAACTACAGCAGCAGCAGCAGCAGATGTTGTTGCAGCAGCAGCGGGCGGCGGCGGCGGGACAGCAGCAGGGACAGGGTCAGGGACAGGTTCAGGGACAGCAAGGGCAGCAGGGCCAGATGGCCATGCAGAAACCCGTTCAGCAAGGCGTGGTCCCGGAGGCGCATACCGTGAATCAGCAACAGCAACAGCAGCAGGCGGCGGCGATGGCGCAACAACAGCAGCAGCAGCAGCAGGCAAACATTGCAAACAACATCCAGCAGAACCCGCAGAACCATCATCCCCAGCAGCAGCAGCAGCAGAACCCCGGTGGTGCAGTGGCAGCAGCCAATTCCCAGCAGCAGCAGCACATTGTGCCTCCCGCCGCAAGAGCCGACTCTCCCCCAGGCCCGGCCGGTGCCAATCGAGCCACCATGTCCCCCGCAGCCCAGCAGCAGCCACCTCTCCAGCAGCAGCAACAAGCAGCAGCAGCAGCAGCAGCAGCAGCCGGCCAACACCTTCCCCAACAGGCACAAGCCCAAACCGTTGTCCGCCCCCCAATCCCACAGCCCGCCACTGCGCAACAACAACAGCAGCAACAGCAACCGCCCCCCTCGCAACAGCAACGCGCATCCGTCCCCCCAGCCCAATCCAGCACACAACCCAACTCCCCCGCGCCCCGCGCCGGCTCCGTCCAACCCGCCCGCCCCCCCACCGCCGCCGGCACCCCCGTCTCTGCAACCTCCCAACAGCAACAACAACCACAACAACCACAACAACCACAACAACAACAACCATCGCAGCAGCAACAACAACAGCAGCAACAGCGTCTCCAGCCCGCATCCTCCGCATCGACTGCCTCCCCCACAGTAGCAGCGCCACACCCATCCCTCACCCCGCGCAGCGACGCCGCCCTCCCCACGCGCGCCGGAACCGGACAGGGCCCCCACCCGAACATTCCAAAGAGCCTTGCTGTCGTGCCGCCGCAGCCTGTTGTCATGCCGCCTGCTCGACCCACGCTCTCGGGCGGGATGAACTCGTCCGGGAATCAGATGATGAGTACGCCTGCGCTCATTAAGCAGCCGGCTTTCGAGTTTGATGAGGGCGGAATGGGCCTGCTGAGCAAGAGGAAGCTGGAGGAGTTGGTCAAGCAGATTGATCCTGAGGAGAAGCTGGATCCGGATGTGGAGGAGGTTAGTGTTGGCTTTTCTTTTCTTTTCTTTTTTTTTTTTTTTTTTTTTTCGTCATTTTTTGATGGCTATCGTTATCTGTTATTCTGCATTTTTGTGCTATGGCTGGCTAAATGCTGCTGTCCATCTCCCCCCATCCATCCATCACTCCCGCCCAGCATCCATCCCATCCCATCCCATCATATCATATCCACCCCCTATAACTATCACTCCCTCCCTCCCTCCCTCCCTCTGCTTACGTCATCTACCCTCCTCCCAATCATTACCACTAACACAGCCACAGTCCATCCTCGAGCTCGTCGACGAGTTCATCGACAACATCGCCACGACGGCCTGCAAGATGGCCAAGCTGCGCGGCTCCGACATGCTCGACATCAAGGACATCCAGATCATCCTCGAGCGCAACTGGAACATCCGCATCCCCGGCTACGCCGCCGACGACATCCGCACCGTCCGCAAGTTCAACCCGGCCCCCGGATACCACCAGAAGATAGCCGCGCTGGCTGCGCAGAAGTCGCTCAATCAGACGGCGGGGAAGGGGGGTGATTAGGTGGTTGTTTGTGGGGGAGAGTAGGAAGGGGGATGGGGGGAGGGGTGGAGGAGTGGAAATGGGTGGAAATGAGTATTTTCTGTCTTACTTGGCCTTTTTTTTTTTTCACTGGGCTTCTCGCTCGGTGGGGTGGGGTGATAAAAGGCTTCATGTGTTTCTATCCGTCATGATTTTCAATGCTTTTCTTTCTTCTTCCTCTTTTCAGGAAGACTATTTTTCTTCTTCCAATTCTTCCAATTCTTCTTCCGTGTCGTTCCTCATCTTCTTTGGTGTTTTTTTTTTTTTTTTTTCTGTATCCTTTTTTTCCACCGCATTATCTCTTTTTTTCCATCCTTTTTCTCTCTACAAAGTTGTCACAAAAAAATCTGGATGGGCCCTTTTCTCCTCTTTCCTTCCCTCTCGTCTACTATAAATCCGGCAATTCTCACCCACCATCCTATTTTTTCCCCCTCTGGTTTGTTTTATCTTTGCTTGCATGTTACTACTACTACTACTACTGGCGTGGATGTCGAGGTTCAATAAAGAGTAATTAAAAAAAAATAAAAAAAAGTAAAAAAAAAGTGTTTACTACATGTAGGTATCCATAGTATGGAAATGACCGTTAGATCTCACATAATAGGAATGGCGTGCCGTGCCAGGGGGCGTTGATTAAATGGCTTTTTCTATTTTGAGCAAGTTCCCCCCCCCCCCCCTCCTTATATCGCGAGTACATAGACCGTAATTCAACTATTGTGATGGTCAAAGGAGTATGTGATATCGAATCTGTGTGAGGCCGCTCTAGACAACTATACTACAACCCTTGTCAATGTCAATGAGCGGGAAAGACGTATTGCGACTATTTTTAGCAGGTCCGTGATTTTTCAGTTTCTAGAGTAACCCCCCTTTCAGCTCCGGCGGAGAAATAGTGCCCGGAGCCCGGGAGTTCGGGCTCGGCCTCGGAGATTTTCCATGCCGGCGGGTAGATTGCTACCGGAATATTCCATCGACCGGAGGGTTAGGGATTTTCTGTGTCTTTTTATAGTAGCTATCTACAATTCAATGCGCTTATGGCTCCCAAACATGAGGTGGTCGAGACATTTGAGTATGTGCTAAACTCACTTGATAAATGTGATTTTTAGATATAGAGTACATGATACCGATGCAATGCAGGTAGAGTGCAAGCAACCATGCTACGCAGATGATGAATGGTAGATAGGTAGGTCAAATGAAGCGAGAGCAGCCCCAGCCTAGAAACAAAAACCCAATAAACAAAAAACCGTTATTCCAAAGGTAAAAGAAAGAAAATCGAAAAACTCAAAAACTCCAACAAACCCAAAATCCACCGACCCCAGAAATGCCCAACCCAGAGCGAGACCGAAAACGAGAGGAATGCAAAGAAAGGAGACGATAAGGATGCAGGACAACAACAATAAGCGTACAGACATGTGAATTTTCAAGAGATTGGTGATACGGGCTCTTGCTCGTCAATCATCATCTTGCTCAAAATCCCTGTTAGTAAGGGGTTACCCCCGCGTTCTTCTAGCATCGCGTTTGCTTTTTTGTGCAACCCATAAAGCACTTTGCGCGTATAATCGAAGCTTCCGGTCTTTTCCATGTACTTAACCGCGTACAACTTGACGTCATAGTCCTTCGTGTGTTGTTTCAGAATGTTTAGGAGTTGCCGATTCGACTCGTCTGTGCGTATCGCATGGATAATTGGAAACGAAAACTTCCCTTCCGTCAAGTCCTCGGCAAATCCTTTGTGTTTTGCATACTAGAATATATTAGTTTTAACCCGAAAGAATACATTGCCAAGGAGATTTTTATACCTTGTCGCATTGAAGATTTATGTAGTCGTCACGAATCTGGTAGATGAGCCCCATCAAATTGACAAGAGGGACGTAATCCTCAGTAGAGGCACTCTCAGACTGCATAAGTTTCACAGCAAGACGGAAGAGGCCGCCAGTTTCTAACCTCAGAAATCAGTATCGATAGAAAGTGTAAAGGTAGAAAGAAAGAAAAAAGGGGGGGGGGAACTGACTGTTGCTGACCATCTCTAAGTAATCATCCTCTGATGGCGTTGTCAACGAATCCCTCCAAAAGAGGTCCATCCCCTGTCCGCGGTGAAGGTTCAGGAGCTCTTCTGTAAATATCTTGAGAACATTCGGGTTATTAAGCTTTGACAGCTCATCCAACGCACAAAAGTACACGTAATTGGCAGAGTTGATTGTTTGAGCTACTCCGAAGATACTATGAGCTACGGGGACACCGCGACGAAGGTTCGAGCTGTCCTCGACATCGTCGACTCTGCAACCCTCATGTTGTTAGCCTTCAAGGGGAAGCCAGGGATGGTTGATTAGTAGCTTACAAGAGTGAAGCTGTGTGCAACATAGCCACGACTTTGCTTATGATCTCTAGCGAAGCATCAGGAACCTTAAGCCAGGTATTGAAAGCCACCAGAAGCTGGTGACGGATGTCCTTTCCTGGGTGCTTGAGCAAGTGGTCATAAGGTTCAAGGAGGATCTGTCCAGAGGTTAGCTATCGTCGAGATCCTCCATAGACCAGCGCCTTATTACTTTTTCCTTCTCCGCCGACCAAGCCCGCTTGTACCCAGCTGCTGCTAAGTTGTCCGCACTCCGAGGATCTGAGGTACTTTTACCGTTACCGTTACTATGGCCGTTCATCGGTTCTGCTGTTTTCGATTCCATGTGCATTCTCGTATTATAATGGGTTGATGTTTGGGTTGGTGTTGCCACTAGAACTACAGACGTTTGTGATGATGATGATGAGTCAAGTGAAGGGTGTGAGAAGGAGGAAGGAGGTGTTGATTGATAGAAGAGAGAAGATAAGGAGGAGGTCAAGCGTTCTAATACAGATGGGAGCAGCATTCCACTTTACTGCGCAGGGACATCAAGACACGAGTACGACGGCCAGTACTTAACTAGCGGTGGGGCCCCACGACAGGGTTTTGCGGTGATGGTGGTGGTGGGGCGCGTGCTGCAGTTGTTGCCTTTCCCAACCCTTGCATGTGACTTTAGTAAATCCCTCCACCGATGCCCCGCCGTAGGAGATCCTCATTCCTCTCCGCAAGCACTGGTGAGCCTGGTTTTTCAGCTCGCAGCCGCGGTTACCTACATATTATAAGCGAAACCCAATAGTCTCTGTTGGTACTACACCATGCTTTTGGTGGTACTGGAGGAGGAAGAGGAGGAGGAGGGGATACTCTCGATCTCTGGGAATGTGCAAATATTTCTACAAATTCAGAATACCAAAGGTTCTCTCTTTGCATTCTCCGTTTGTAGGCTGGCTGACTCCTGGGGGCGTGGGAAGCGGTTGGTACCTACATTTCGATTTGTTCTATCTACGCCGCAATCATGCGGAGCTTTTTATGGATCTCCGTCAGAGGGCAAAATAAGCTTGATACTAAACATCCCCTGTCTCAAACTGCGTACTCACACTAATGAAAGGCTTCGCTTGATAGGTTAAAACTATTTTCCTATCTTGCCGAACGAGAAACTAGATGCCTTTCTGCAACTGACATTCCCCAAATACAGCATGGGGTTCAAAAGAGTCCCATGTGGGCGGTTTCCTTTTCGGTTGTCATTTGGTTTCTGCATGTTGTGTAACACGGGCACATGTTCAGCTTGACCAAGCCACTACATCGATTAATGCCTTCATAAACAGGAAAGTTGACTCGCATTGAAACTGCTTCTTGCAGGAAATGTCAGAAGCATAGTACCGGGGAAGAGTGTGGGGTAATATAACCCGCTGATGATCGTCACTTTCTTGGGGATCCAGGTTTCATGAGCTGGACTCGCAGGTTAATGCCCCCAGGATGTTGTGCATAGATACATGTTTTTACCTTACACGGGAACAACAACCGTGACACTACCATTCGAACATAACTTGTCACTCGCACGCTGTGCTTGACAACAGCACAGGCGACGTGTCTTAAGTGCTGTTTCTACACTCAAACATCCGCCACGAACAGACGAAGAATAATTCCAGATAGTACAAATTACTCGGGGCAGGCAAGTATAGCCTCGTTTGGCAATACCTCCTAGTTTATGTCTACATACTTCAAAATTCTCTGTGACTTAGACCCTGCATATCAGATCCCGAGTAATACGATCGCAACTCAATAGCATGGCCAAGAATGAGGATTTTGCGCAGGATAGCAAGGGATACCAAGCGGAACTTTAACATATCTTCAGAAGGACGGCTTGGCACCAGGTTCAGACGAGGGCGAGCAAATAAACTAAAACTAAGGTCCTAGCAGCCACGCCCAATCTATTTCTCTGTGTATCGTTCAGCCCTGCGTCAAATTAACCGTCCTCACTCCCTCTTTCTAGGGGACCCTATCTAAGAGTTCCAAGCCCAAGGATAATGAACCGGACATATCGAATTCCGACATAAAGCTTCAATTATAGCTTTTAGGTTAGACAATGATATGATTTGACCGTCAGGTTTGTTGCCAGAAGGATAGCCTACTCTGCTCTTCTCTCTGATTGCGATGCTTGGCACTCTCGACGATATTACCATAGTCTTGTGATCTACCCCCACCTCCCCCCCAAGTAGATAATCTCTCGCAACCTTCAGGCAGCTGGAATTGGTTGGAAGAAGAACGTCGATAATCTTTGGGATGTAGGGGGAAACTTTATGTGTTTGCTTTAACATGAAATTTTGAATTTAAATGTATAGCCATCGCTACCTAGTGTAGCTTAGTGGCATATGTCGGAATGTCCTAGGCTCAATTCCCACCTCAGAGGGGGTTGAGACATTACGATATATAATTGAGGGTCTCAGTTGGTGCCGCTGTATTTATATGAGAGGTCGACTGAGGAAGAGGGTTGTCCGACTACTGCACCATGAATTTATTCCTCTGGAGGTAGGGCATAAGACCTCAGCCGTTTATCCGAAGGTTTCCGTCCTCATAAGCATATAATATAAAAGGTAAACAGCCGGCGTAAGTCGATGCAGTTTTTTTCTATGTACCGAGTGACTAATAGAGCCACCTCGCGACCGCGAAATCTTGCTTCTTTGATGTACGGCAGTGACAAAACCAGAGAAGATGATATGGTGAGAGTGGTCTCTGTCTTGAAGAGAAGAAGATAATTCAGATATAGATTCTTCTGGTAAGAACCCGCACTGATCTCCCTAGATAGGGTGTTCTCTAATCAAACCACGTATCGAAATATAGCAAGATTAGCCTGGAGTGGTAGCGGAATGCCATGCGATATAAAACGTTTACTTGAATCTTAAGATATTGTGTTACTAAATACGATCGGACATCAACAAGATTTACAGACAGTCTCGTGGGATTACAACCTATTTCTCGGCATCACGAGCTTTTCGAACATTTCGGCTGGCATTCTTCTCCAATACTCAAGCCAAAGTTCACGCCTGTGCCTAACACTAACTGATTCACCACTTCGATGCGCAATGGCTAGATTCAGGAAGATGAAGCCCGAGAAGACTAGGTGATTGGAAGTTCGATGGTTGTGTGACTTGTTTGTAATCCGCCGCCTATTGCGACAAGCCGTATAAATATGACGCTAATAGATCTATTTTCCCGCCTCCGGGGCTAAGACGATGTTTCTTTCAGTCCGGCCTTGGAGATGGCCTCCTTATGTTCCTCTATATCAGGTCCGGCTGTCCACTGATATTTTTGGGCTTCGGACAGCTCCCGGTCATAGGGGGATGATAGTACTGACTTATTAGATCAGCAGCTGCACTCTCGCTAGACCCATTATTCAGCAGCCTCTCGAGTGCCCCCCGCTCCCCAATGTCCTCGTTCCAGTCAGAAACACAGGCGGAGAAGGCCAACACTGTTGCAACGACTCACGAAAAAAGTTCACCAACGTACAATGACATCGTCGTCGTCAAAGAGGCTTTCCCTACGTTTCAATTGGGAACCTTTATTCGAAAATATGGATCAATAAGACATTGCAGAATTCAAAATTACAAGTGGGAAAGAAAGAGTGAGTAACAGGAGGGACTTACTATATTGTTTCAAAGGAGGGCGCTTTAACCTATTAGCTGACGTCGCTGCTAGTAGCTACCGCCGCTGGGTAGAAGAAGTCTCTTACAGATAACAGCATGGTTGATTCGCCCATGAATGATATTCCGTGCCCCCGTGAGGTGCCTGCGTGTTCTTCCTCACTATTCAACACATCAGTCTACGTCCATACTACTACAAACTCAAGGACAAGTATTTTATAGAATTCACGCTTAACTAAGCTACAATCACAACCAATCACTCGGGAGATTTCTTGGCACATTAATGGAGCGAATATTCGAGACAGATATATACCTTTTTTGACAACAACAAATATCCAAGTTGTAGTGGATGGCTAAAAACTCTTCTACAACTACAGACTGACTCATCTAGGTATATCTAGAACTTCTAGCCGGCTCATAGTCGGCGAAAAAATTCTGCAATTGGCGAAAAACCAGATCCTGGTATTATACCCCAGCGCTATATAAGGCCATGTTCTCCCACCACTCTTCTTCCCCCTCCTTATTGCGCTGCGTGTGGCAGTGCAGCAACCTAGGTCTACATCGCAAACTCTCGAATACTGGCACGAGGGTTTGCCTCGAGCATACTCGCCTCGTTGACCCCCATGCCTTGAGCTCCCTCGAGGAAGAGGCCCCGAGCGTCAATGCCTCGTGGGCCAAACTAAACTAAATAGCCACATCAACGGGCTCATCCCACATGTAGAATCTGGTTGATCGTATACCCGGACAGATTGCGAATAACCAGCCGCAGGAACGTGAACAAACCAAGGTAAAGAACGTAGTGCAATTCTAGATCTCCTAGTTTACCTATGTAATGTTTGGTCATTATCTATTACCCAAGTTCGCCTGACAGTTGGCCCGGAATTAAACCCTCCTCAACCCGCGCAAGCAAAGAAGAGAACATAGGCTAGATCTACTTGTAGCCACCCGTCTCCTCTTCTAATCCCGAAGAAACCTAAAAGTAAGGTGACTCTGGGAGCTTAAAAGATCCGCAAAGTATCACATATATGAAACTAGAAACGACCTCAAAGATACTCTTCATAGCACAACACAGGCTTCCTTTCCCCACTTGCATACCGAAAATTTCCACCCCCATAAATCCTCTCATTCTGTCCTCCAATACTGGCACTCAGGTCATAAACCGCCTAAACACATATATATTCAAGCTCTGGTAGTGCAATTGGTCAGCATGCCCTCACCAAAAACATTAAAAACTTATAAAATCGTAGGGAGATTTGGGTTCAAACCCCAACCAGAGCATCTTTTTCACCTCCCGAGGGAAAGAGGAACCGCCAAACCAAATCCAAGGTTCAGGAAGCCAGTTTGGGGTGGTAGGGGTACTACATGTAATTGTAATACTGTATGATTGTCATCAACATAGAAATCTCTTGAGATTAAAGGATACATAGTATGATGTACGTCGCCGATCGGCCGTACATAGAAAGTGTTAAGAGCATAAAGTTCTTAAATCTGCCGAATAGGGCTAGGGAGGTTTCTGCAGCACCGGGCTAGCTTAGTAGTCTTTGGCACATCCGGTAACCTTGGCACTGATATACGACTTCAGGCTAACAACACACATGGCGAGTGTGGCCTAACGGTTAACACTCGCCCCCGGACGGACACCATGCGGGGGGGATTGTATAATCTTTTTTTTTTTTTTTTTTTTTGCAAAACACATATCAGGTAATTGAAACGATTTCTGATAACGAACATCATCGAGTCCTTGTTTTTCTTTTTCTCTCTCTTTTTTTGTTTAATTCATTAATTGCATTTTTCTCTCTCTTTGCTTTGCCGACGAATTTAGACTGTAGAGGAAGAGGCATCTTCCCCGTAAGAAACGTCTGTGATACAAATGAAGCCAGCTATTCGTGCTGCAAAATCGGAGACGTCGATATATCAAGCATAATATCTAAGAAGATAATGTTGCCACCCTCTGGATTTAGTCAAATTGTATCCTGATCTACTAAGAACTACGTGGCTCATATGAATTCGAAGTGCAAGCCAAAGCTGGGTGAGTTATTAATCAATCAATCAATTAATCAATCAATCAATCATTTACATGCAATTAATGAATTAAACAAAAAAAAAAAAAATCAATCAATCATCCCAGCCAAGCATCATCATATAATATCACTCGACTGTATATTTGTCTTGGCGTAAAATCCTAGTATTTGCTCTAACCACCAATCTCAATGGCGGCCAAATTGCCGATGCTTTGTTTGGGCCCCAGTCAGTTTCTTTGAAGAACTGGACTTTGATCAACGAGTCTGGGTTGAGGTATTTCTGAATTGGGTGGGTTAATGTTAAAATGACGTGCGCTTAGTGCGTATATACCATTTTCCACGATAATATAACTTTTCCTAGTGTGTCCAAACGGTAGATATGTGTAGGTTTGTGGCCGACCTGAGAAATAGAGACGTGTGTTGTCAAAAATAATGGGATCCGGCTCGTGACCTTATCTGTGACCTTATCTAGTGAATATGAAAAGTGTATAACCCCACCACTTTCGAAGGTTCTCTATTTTTCCCGTGCAAATCTTTAGGTGAATCGATTCTCCCGATCCCAACATCAGTGTGTCATTTCCCGCAAGATAACTACAGCGGAACCCAAATGGTCCATATGGCCATTTAGGTGACCGGCTACAGGTATGAGACAGTAAGAAACTTATAGAATGTTGGGCCTATACGTATATAGTTAGCCCTTAGCCGTAGGAAAGAAGTGGTTCTCTGCAAATCCATGCACGCGAGGATCGAGTGGCATTGGCAGATCGTCGTCGATATCTCCCGTCATTATAGTTACACCATATTAAGGTTTCCCCAGAACCTTAAACCCGCCAACTACATGTAGCCAGTAGCAGGCTCCTCCCCAGCCCCCCCGACCGCTTGGATGGGATGTGCACGAGACTAAGCTAGTAGTACCGATCGGGCCTGATGTTCTTAGCGGGTCTGGGCTAACCTCAGCTAGCTGCTGCGGAGCGTATCTCACGAGGCAATGATGTCGTTGCCTTGCATGAGGATTAACTTTGGGGCTTTTGACCCCAAGATGGACGGTGTCTATAGGGCGTATATCCAGACCCCCAAACCTTTTTCCCACGCCTGGGGATGAGATGACCGTACATCTTTTCTCGGATGAAAGATTGGTGTCGAAACGAGTCGCCAGGGAAGATAGGTATGGTACAAGAGGCCGGTTGCATGCTCAGAAGTCACTCAAAGATTTCTCCCAAAGAGCTGCAATTATCGCGGAACTGTCTCTAATACCCTAGGTCTTCTTCCTATCGATTCTCTACATAGAGTAACCATCTTATTTTGTGAGTGAAGCACTGAGGGTGCCCACCGTTCCACGGACCCAAGACCAATTGCGTAGAGGAAAGAGATATGTGTATTTTCCCTCGCAATGGATTAAGTGCTGGGCCGCTTTCCTGGGCCGAGTTTTCCAGGCTGGTGCTCGGACTAAACGTCAGGTGGGGCACCGCATGGTATTGAAGTCCCATGAGATTAGGGTGCCATAAGATCTTTAAGCTTCTACCCAGAGTACAACTAGAGATTAATGTGACCAAGATCTTCAACTCTAGAAGGGCTCGAGTTCCTATGGTTTCGAACTACGTACCCATCACAATGCTTATATATTTCTAGAGCATATTCCAAAGGCCAGAGGATACGATGGTACAGTACGATATACCTATAGCGGATGGGTACCTTGTGAGGGTGTTTTGTGCTGGCTGTATCGGTGATTACTTCAACCAGTTATGGTTTGGTATAAGCGAAGGTCCTTCTCATGGGAGCACCGCTTTCTTGTGCGCACACCTGTCCAAATAGCCTTTTGACACCACACCCACGATAACCCTAGCCCTGCATGGACCAATAAGAGGCTAGACCGCAGTACCTCAGCTAGTACAGGGTGCACTGCGGTTTATGCGTGCAAGCTTGATAGCTATCGCACTCGAGTGATATTATGTGATCCACTGGCCAACTTGAAATCGCAGAAAAACACATTTTAAAAAACAAAAAACACGTTATATTCTTACTACCGTTACATCTTCATAAGACTCATAAAAGCGACAAAAGAAAATAAATATGACAAGAAATGGTTTAAATCAAAAATCAAGCGACCCATTGTAGTTGGTTCTGCCGTGCAATTTGATGTCCATCCTCCCAGCTGGGTGGCTCTGCCACGCAATTTATATCCACCCTTTCCGACCCCAGACCTTAGCTAACAAGAACGTACAAGTAAGTAATCCGGATAAATAAAAAGAAAAAGAAACGAAGAGAGCAGTGTAACCCGAAACAAGACAGATTCAACGCCACCCCTAAAAACAAAAGAGAGAGAGAGGAAATATACCTATTACAATTCGTTCAGCCCTAACAAAAGAAAAACACGCACTCGAATTCGATCAAAAAGAAAAAATTCACACCCAATCACCAAGACCCAAACAAAAACCTCGCTACACGCCTCAGCCTGCCCTCACCATGCCCGCTACCACCACCGCCATAATTACTAGGCGATCTCGCCATCTTATCCCGCCGCGACCCATCCCCACCAAGCCAAGCCGGTGGTGGCGACGGCGACGGCGAATACGGATTCCTCGACCTCTTCGACCGAAACATGGGCGGGTGATTCTCGGTACCCATGTAAAACATCGACTCTACCTGCGGGCTCGCTGACCTGCGCCTACTGCTATGCCTCGGCTTATCACAGTATATCTGCACCGGAGGCGGAGGCGGCGGAGGGACAGGCATAGACTTCCGCTTCCGCGACGACTTCCTGCGTACCTTCTGCTCGCGCTCGCGCTCATTGTAGCGTGCGTTATACTCTGCGAAGGTGCGCGAGTGCGGCGGGTATGCGTCTTTGGGCGTGAAGTGGTGCGTGTGGTAGCGGTTGTAAGCAAGGTCTTGCTTGACGGAGAAGAGAGGGGCGTCACGCTTGCTTGGGCTGCGCTGAACAGGGGTGTAGACTTGTCCTGATCCTCCTGATGAGGGATAGGCGTAGCGGTATGGATCGCTGCTGGGTTGGGGAGCGTAGCTGTGGGCGGCGCTATTGGTGTACCTCATTCTGAAGGTAAGCTTAGGGACGTAGATCCCGCGATTCTCAAGTGTAAAGCTAGTACTGGTTGGAGGATATTGAGTAAGTAGTGTTATTGGACGTGTGGGATGATCAGTGGGGGATAACGACCTACCTTCCAAGTTTATATATCGTAGATTCCCACAGGACGGCAATGACTTAGCTGATATTGACCGTACCTCACAACAGGTATGAGAACTCATCGGTATTTGTAGCTATTCCGTCCCTTCTCTGGTCCGAACCGAATGAGTGGCCTCTGGCGGGGGCTCAGCACCAAACTTTAAACCTCATGATATGTTTCTGTCCAAAACAATGGTCACAGGTCGTGTAATACAAGAAAAAATAGTACCTGATGAACCCCGGGTCAAGAGAGCGCGCATATTTATGACGCAACGCAGCTCGGAATGTTCTCAATTTTGCAAGGCTTGGCCCCTTTTGTTTGTTGCAGAAGGAATAGTAATAATTCCATGAATGGGTCATTTGGGTCGTGTGCGCTCTTCTCAGCAAGATGTATTTAACTTTTATGTCTTGAAGAAAATTGGCTGTGCGTCATAGTCAGAAGGCTGAATCTGGTGGACCCCTTCTAGAAGACGCGAAGTTTGGTGGTGGGGGAGGGAAAAGGGGGGGGGGGGGTGATGGGGGGGTTGAGGGGGGGGTGATGGGGATGAGGGGGATGAGGTTCATACAGAAGCTAACATGCCCATGTGCACACATCATGATCCACGTGTGGTGGTTGCAGAGTGCCTGCCTGCCTGATTGATTAATCGGTCGCTTGGGTACGTGCGTATGCAGGCACGCCGGAACGAAGCTTCGCCTTTGGAAAATATGGGGCACCTCTCCCCTGCATCTGATCTTGATGTACGTATATAGGGCGTGCAGCCATACATATCTCTCAATATAGCGACATCTAAACAATAGTAAACATCAGCCATGAGAAATATATAGAGGCGATGTGGTGATGGCTGTGCCCTCATCTTAGTTTTCATATTCGATGCCCCTGCTCATCTTCCTCCTCTTCACGCGGAACCACTTATCCCCTGCAAGGCGACTATTACGCCCCAAGCAGGAGAAAACTTCCCTCAGACATTCTCCTACTGCAGTACGTACATATACCTACTAGCAAAAGTAAAGGAATAAACGGCAGTTCGACGACCATGTATGACCGCGTCATATTTAAAACCTGGATAGCCTCCAGCTGATCATGTGGGCAACTCCAGGTTGGGACCTGTCACTGTCACACCCGGTCACTCGGTCGGTAATTAGGCGATAGCGTGACTACCAACAGCCCTGGCGTCACACAATGCAACTGTAAGCGCTGATGAACATTTACTTAAACTGCTATCGGACGCCTCAGAAATGTATGTTTTGACGTTATTCTGAGCCATGGTATAATCCGGGCATTCTATCATTGACCTGCAGTCTGGAGATACGCTATTTAGCGGTGCAGTCTAAACCACCAATCAAGGCGAACGCCAGGACTTCCTTCAAGGCAACACCCACGAGAATAAGCTAGCAGGGCAACAAATCCCCTGAGAACTCTCAACAGATACGAGTAACCAATCAAGATGCGTACTATTCTCCTTCAGTTGTTGAGGGCATCGGCTGAGCTAATATCAGTCTGGTAACCACATTGGACTATTCAGCGATCATTAAAGTGAGGAGGCCAAAAGAGAAACCTTGATTGGTCCGTGGTCCAGAAAGCTAGTCCTCCTGGTTGTGATCGCCACCTAACTTAATCTTGAAGCCATGCCTCGCACTTGATGCCAAAATACTAAGGTTATCAAGCAAGACTGCGGATGAAATGAAATCGGGATGAATGGCAGGGTGAGTACAATATTATTCATAATCAACGAACGTTTATGGATATCTCTTATTGCGACAGAAAATATGTTTTTCTCTTAGAGACCGTGACAGTCACCGAAGGATTAGAAGTACATGTACATGTAGTTACATTATGCGTGAATCCATTATTAACTAGCGGAAAATTGCTTTTTTTCTTGCGTAACATCCCTGCCTCATCATAATACTTGCCTGCATACCACATTCCCAAAAGTGGGAGAAAGAAAAGAAGGGCCTCAGTAATTTCCCTTCTCTCAAAATCGATAAAAAAAATAAAAAAAATCAAATATAACCCAGAGTCATGAGACGGCAAAAAATAGGAAAAGAAAAAGAAAAAACCAACGCCCCATTGCTCCTATTACCTCCTTCTACCCATTGAATTGACTCCCTGTGTTCTTTAACAACCCAATCTATCACTGCTTCGCTTTTTCTTTTTTTTTTTTTGGGGGGGGGGTGGTCTTTCTCGTTTCGTTCCTCCATTTATGATAGATCGGTAACTGTGCCAGAGAATTCAGAAACCACCAATATAGGTGTTTTTTGCCCAAGTGACCGATTCACCGTTTTGTTGATATCCACCTCCTTTCTTTTCTTTTCTTCTGATGATGATGGCGATGTTTAAATATACAGTATTTCGAACCTCAGACATGAAAAATAGAGAAAATATAGTTAAAATCCATAAAGGAAAAGAAATGATTCCAGCGTCTGATTCTTTATCTTTACGCCTGCAAGGTTGCGATGAAGTTGTTGAGATCGTATTCGTCGGTGTATTGGGAATCGTCCCATAGTTCCCCGAGGTCATCCAACACGCCTTTATTACCCTTCTTGATAACCTGCCCATTGATATCCACCATATCTTCTTCGGCAGCCTCTTTTTGTATGGCTCCTGTATCACCAACATTAAAGAGATCGAGAATTTGGTCTGTTTCCATGGTAGCTAGACCAGCATTCTGTTGATTTACAACTGTCGATGCAACATCCAATTTGAATCGTTGAAGACTGTATTCCAATGTTAGTACTTATAATATAAAGAGAATGAATAAAACATACCTCATAATCTTCTCCTCCAACGTGCTTCGTGTCACCAATCTATACACATTTACCACTTTCTTTTGCCCAATACGATGCGCACGATCCATAGCCTGCATATCCTTCTGAGGGTTCCAGTCATGTTCCACAAATATAACAGTATCCGCTCCAGTTAAATTGAGACCCAGACCACCAACGTGAGTAGTCAAAAGCAAGACATCGATGGATGGATCTCCATTAAATTTGGTGACAATATCTTGCCTTTTTCTTGCCTCGGTACCACCATCCATTCTCAAATATGACACAGTTGGCAGTAGTTTCTTCAGGACGTCATTCTCCACAATATCCAACATCTCTTTCAACTGGCAGAATATCAATGCGCGATGTTGGCTAATAGCAGTCGCCTCGGCCGGAATTTCACCTCCATTATTGACACTGTCGATCCCGATTCCGCAATCCACAAGTAAGTCGCGCAAAGCTCCCAACTTTGGCGCATGAATAGGATCTCGGATATGTGATTTGTCTCTGATTAGTTGACGATTAAGCTTCTCAAACTGGGGGTGCTTTTCATTGAGGACTAAAGCTGGAGAATTGCATAGCTTCCGCATGTACTGTAAAGCCTGGAAGATGTGCTGCTTGGCCTGTTTATCTCCTTCCGCTGCAACTGCCCCCGCAATCTGTTTCGATTGTTTTTTCGCAAAGTCGTCATACAGCTTCTTTTGCAGCTCGCTGAGGTCGCAGTAATAGTTCTGAATGATTTTTGGAGGTAGATCATCCAGCACTTCTTCCTTCAGTCTTCTAAGTAAGAATGGTAACACTTGTTTATGCAGTGCCTCAATAGCAAGGGCACCAGCTTCCTGTTCTTTTGAATTGCTCTTACTATTTCGACTAGCTGCAATCGGTTTAGCGAATCGGTCCAAAAAGACTTTTTCAGTGCCAAGGAAACCAGGCATCAAGAAATCAAATAGAGACCATAGCTCAAGGACATTATTCTGAATTGGCGTTCCTGATAAGATAAGGCGATGGTTCGCAGATATCCTTTTAACCGCCTGGGTAAGCTTCGCCTTGGAATTCTTAATGATGTGCCCTTCGTCAAGGACGCAATAGTTCCAGCTGAAAGAACCAATGTTCTCAATATCATTCCTGCATATATCGTATGAGGTAATGACGATATCTGTTGTTCCAAGCTGTGCACGGACACGCGCACGCTCTGCTGGATTTCCAATATAGCACAAGGCAGTAAGGAAAGGCGCAAACTGGTTGATCTCCTGCATCCAATGCCCTGACAGGGTTGGAGGGCAGACAATGAGTGATGGCAAACGACGATTTTCGATGGCACCCGTCTTCTCGAAGTCTTGTGCTCGTAGATAGTGATCACTAGCAATGATACAAATCGTTTGTAGTGTCTTTCCAAGACCCATATCTATGTCAAGTCAGCAAAAGCTTATCTTAGGTTTCTTCATCAGTCTGGGGTAGGCACTGACCATCACACAAGATACCATGCAGGTGGTATTTGTTTAAGAAAGCCAGCCAATTGACACCCTCCTGCTGGTAAGATCTCAATGAAGCCTTGATGGCGACTGGAAGTTCAAAAGGTTCGACTTTGTGTACGTCGAGCATTTGCGATATAAACTTCCGCTCCCTATCACGTCCTTTCAACAGTTCCTCGGAAAGCCCGGGGGGGTCAGGAATACCGGCCTAGAAAGATTGAAATAATCAGTGACTACATTCAAAAGTTGGATAAAACGAAACTACACACCTCTAGTGGCACCAATTTGACCAGGGTTGCAAAAGTGGTCGTGGAAATGAGGCGAACATCATTGTCTGAGTCGCTCATTCTTCCCAACACCGGAACGATCAAGAATACAACGTATGGAAGAATGTCAGTCTCCATTACGTGGATCAAATGATAGACACATTCAATAGCCCCTTGACGATAGCGCAGCTCATGAGCATTTGCAAAGTTTGGCAAAACCTTTTCAACCAAGGTAGTCATTCCCTCAATAGTAATCACACTGCATATTGTAGCAAAGCATTTGGCGGCAGCGTAACGGAGTACCGAATAATTTGACTGGAGGGCTCTTATGATTAAAGGAAAGAGACTGATAATTGATGGGTAAAGATCAGGGTGGAACTTAGGAAGTAAGGCCCGGATCGTTGAAAGACCGTCAACAACCTCTTGTCCAAGAGTGACGTTGGGATCTTTGATATTACTTGGAAGGTCGCCATCAAAAGCAGCATGCAAGGGCGCCTCGATACAATCCCGTAGTTTCGGTACAGCATCAAATAAGGAAGCACCGAAAGTCTGTGCCAATTGTTCCAGTGCCTCTTTGGCACCACGCCTTTTAATCCTTGCTTCCCTAGCTTCCCTTTCGAAGGCTGCCTGATCAGCATGGTCTTTGCGATCTTCCTCTTTCCTCAAGGACAAAATGTTCTCCTCTAGTGTCTCATTTTGGTGGAACATGGGGACTTCTGAGGTGTCTACGCAGAGGAAAGAGTTGAGATTCTTAGTGAGCTTATCTGCCACCGCAGCACGCCCACTTCTTGAACACAGGCCCACAAGTGAGGCAATTGCTTGAGCTGAACGCCGCTGTAAATCGAGGTTTTCTTCTAAC